TATGCGTTGAAACTAATCTTAAATATAAGTAAAGTGTACTATAATATTAAAATAATTGTTAATTAATCGATAGAAATGAATACTGTAACGTAAAATTGAGGATGTACCYGATATGTACCTTCCTCTTCGAAATCTTCTGTTAGACTGAGACGTTGTCACATAAAAAAGCTTTTTATATCGACAGTTGTTTACGTGGCTTTTTGAAAGTTGCGCATGTGTGTATAACGAAAATATTAATTGAATTAAATAGAAATTAAGATTATAACGTTCTGATTTTACATATTTTTAATTTTCATGTAATTGTTAAAATAAATGTAAATTTGTTTTAACGTTCCTGTGCAGTGGTGACTTCGGAAGGGGAAATTTTTATCGAAAAGACTATCACATAGAAATCATTTAATGATTAAAGTATGCTAATAAGTATGTAACACTTATACTAGTACATATATGTTTAAACAATCTGAAATATAAAGAGAGTGTATCAAAGTATTAAAAAAATTGTTAAATAATCAATTGAAATGTATATTGTAACGTAAAATTGAGGATGTACCTGTTGATGTACCTTCCTCTTCGAAATCTGCTGTTAGACTGAGACGTTGTCACATAAAAATGTTTTTCTATCGAAAGTTGTTTATATGGTTTTTTGAAAAGTGCGCATGTGTGTATAACGAAAATTGTAATTGTATTAAACAGAAATTAAGATTATAACGTCCTGATTTTGCATTTTTTTAATTTTCATGTAATTGTTTAAATAAATGTAAATTTGTTTTAACGTCCCTGTGCAGTGATGACTTCGGTGGGGAAAATTTTCAGCGAAAAAAAATATCACATCGAAATTATTTAATATTTAAAGTATGTTAATAAGTATATGCAATGCTTATACTAGTACATAAATGTTTAAACAATCTGAAATATAAAGAGAGTGTATAGAGTATTAAAATAATTGTTAATTAATTACTAGAAGTGTCTATTGTTGCTTAATAGCTAGGAATATACGATCTATGTACCGTCTTCTTCGAAATTCGCCGTTGGACTAATGTAAGTCATTGTTCTCTGTAAAACTTAAATAATACAACAGAGTATTATAGTATTCAAATGAACCTCTGTCTAGAATTTGTTTTGCTCGGTAAGAGATACTCTATTAAGGTAATAGACGGAAATAATAAAAAGATGTGAGGCTTTGATAAGTAAATAAGTTTATATTTACAGCGATTATCGTTCATCTTATTTTTGCAACAAGTTATATAATAAAAGTGTCGCTAAGTTCTAGTTTCGATATATTTTGCGCAGGATGAGTCAATTGTAGAGATTTTCCCGTTGATTTAATAGATCAAATTCTTTCATTTATGTTTACGAGATTCTCCTGCATGAATATTAATAATTACATTTAAATATATCATAAATCTTGTGTTCTTTTTCTTCCCAACTTTCACGCGTTTATGTATATACTTACATATCGCAAACACAAATTTATAAGACACACGTAGTTATAGTTTTCTTTAAACAACGTTATGTATTTATTATTACGCGAAACATGCATCTTCTTGCCTCTTACATTCGTCACTCTTTATTATCATAATATAAAAATCACAGCATACAAGAAGCCTAATTCAAATGATCGATTTTATCTTAATAGAGCACTGTCGCAAAGTTTCAGATTTTCAATTTTTTAATTGTCTTTTGTGCAGAAAGTGCTACAATAATCATGAAAAACGACTTTCTCTCTCTCTCTCTCTCTCTCTCTCTCTCTCTCTCTCTCTCTCTCTCTCTCTCACTTACTCACTTGTTCTTACGTACTTTTACGTATTTTTTTTCCAATCAAATCTCTCGTAATTCACGTAAATGATTCTAGATTGAAATCGTGGAATGTAAGCCACAATCGCGTCAGTAACAGATATATAAATTTCGAATATAAATTTTGGTAGTAAAAATATATATATTTATTTATTTATTTATTTATCTTTACATAACTTTGTGTATGATTGCGTATGTGTGGGATGTGTGTGTGTGTGTGTGTATATATATATATATACATACATGTATATGTATACATACATAATATATATGCATATACGAGTCGTTCACAGGCCAAAGCGACTAAAAATTGTTCGAAACGTGAAAACGTATATATTTGAGAAGCACGTAATTGACGCTAAATTGTCCATATTTAAATGAACCTTTCTTTATAACGAGCTTAAATATCATCGAATAAGAAAATGTTGTACGACTGAATAAATTATATAACTTTAATATAATTGTAACTTAATCAATTTTCTCTAGCTTTTTTATATAAGCGATTTTATTGAATCGATTTGGCAAATGAGCGGCTCATATATAACTCTGGCCCCGATTTTCCATAAAATTCTTTTTCGTTAATAGAATTCTTTTTCTATCAGTTTTTCTGTACGATAATAACCTATTTATATACATTGACTATACTCTTAGATATAGTCGACGCTATCTATATATAAATTTTATATAACGGTGCGCGTAATTTTTTGCTCACCAGTTACTACTCGTAATTAGACTATTTGAAAATGTTCATTTAAACAATCAAATAAAATATACATATACAGTCTTATTAACTAGAAAGATAGTCGTTGGCACAAATGACTGCTTAAAAATGAACTAGGCCGCAAAGTGTTAGCCTTTATTTGACAATATTTTCGTTTGAATAATTTCATAATTACGAAAGTAGTAGGAAAGATAATAAACGGCGATCACTTTTATCTCATATGTTATAATCGTTGAAAGAGGTGCAACAGAAAATCAAGTTGTTTTTGTACTAACAACGTTCAGCAATCTAAAATATACGATTAAATGAAATGATTGCGAGATATGCATGTGAATGTCGCTAAATCGTTTGCCAAGAAAGTTTCCATATGGATGCGGACATTGCGCACATATCTTATATTATGTTTGCACTGATAATGTGATTTATTAGTTTTATACTATTTCACGCACACACACATATATACGCATATGTATATATGTGTATATGCACATATATAGGTATATTTAATCTATATTTGAGGACAAGGTAAAACTAAAACGTTTCGCATTAAAAAAAGGGTTTTATGAAAGAAGAGATATGGATAAACATTAGCGGAATATCCGCAAACCTTTAAGCTTCATTGAAGCGTCCACCGATTCGACACGACGATTCACCACTTATGTTAAACTAAAGTATTTTTCCGCGACGGTTATAACGAATCATCATGCATTACGAAACATACAATAATAGGCAATCCAGATCTTTCGTTTTTTTTACTAGAATCGATATGTTGGGAGAATAGCGCGGAAATGCTATATATATATATATGTTGATTCCGCGAGGAAGTAACTTGAAAAAAGATCGCATAGAGATCTTCTGGCAAGTATACGACAATCAATCCTCCCATTTTACAGCTTACGTTGTAATCATTGAACATTATACATTATATAATATTCGACTTTATTAAAATATTATATTTCGTAAATATCTGCTTTAAAAAATCACGACGATACCCTAGACTATGTATTAGACGTAATTTGTGTTAAAATATTTTGCACGCTTATTTTCAATCCATGTTAATAAGTTGAATGTCCTTTAAGAAGTGTGTTGCTCGTTAACCGATAGATGTTATCTGATTGCACTTTAGTAACAGGCATTAATGGACAATGCTAAACCCAACGATATTTACTCATTCTTATGAGTTCCATATATTCTTCGAGAAAAATGGTTCATAACCACAGACGGCTAAAATCTTATCCACCATTATGGCCCGATTTTAAAGGGGGATGATTTCATGAAATCTTGTACTATTATAATAAGCGATGGATTTCTGACCGGTGCGTGGACAAAGTTGGAGAGATATCATCCGTCGGAATATCGAGCTTGCCATCGAAAGAAATATCTTATTACGACTTTATCGATCTCCTTGTCTTGGATCGATTCTAGTCGATTCTAGAATTGGTAACCAAACAGCGATTTCCATTTTTTCACAGCTAGTCCTCGGAAAAAGTAGGATCTTCGATCCTATCCCCAAGAAGTTTGGCTTTCGTTGGAATATCGCTCCATATTGGACGGCCTTTCGTTGTCTCTTCGCGTATCATCGCAGAGACGTATCCAGTTATAAAAGGAGAACGCCAACGTCCAATGCTATCATCCTACTATCGTATGTAATCGTGCGTCGTCGTCGCGCGATATCAACGCTAGGACCCTCGTCACTTCCTCTCTTCCGGTTCCTGACTGATCTTAACGAGATTATACGCGTGACTTCTGTACTTGGTAGGTGGATCGTGTAACGGTAGAGGTTGCTCGCTCGACGGTTGATTCATACTAGACATAGAAAGATCCGTCGGCATGTCCGCTTCCGCGTCGAGTCCGCATCCGGTAATGGTTGCCTCCTCCTCCGGTTCAGATTTTATTCGCGGTGGTTGTCGCAATATATTCATACTCTTGAGGTTTTTCAACTCGGTTGGATTTCGAAGGAACCTGCGAGATGAAGATCGCGTAAAGATTCGTGGAAAAGAAAAAAAAAGAAACTTGATGAAAGGTATACTCACTGATAGCAATGCCGCTCTCCCTGGACTTTCCTAAGTATGTTTACACGATAGTAATAACGCAAAGCTCTGCTCATCTTGTCATAATTCATAGACAAATGATTTTTCTGTATTCCCCAGAGCCGTGCTAAACCAGGAGGGTCAACGATCTTGAAAACTCCAGTATCTCGACATTTCCAGGCAATATAATTGGTATAACGTTGGGATGAATCGTTGAGCAATTGCTGAAGAAAATCCCATAAAAGCCTTCCATCTGCAATAGAAAAAAGATCTATAATATTTTCTATCGTATATCGTACCATATGTATCGTATATGTATTGTGTATGCATCAGATACGAACTGGTATTAGGTTCGGACGAGTCAGTAGGAAAGAATTCTCTGACGGTATTCGCGGCTGCAGCGGCAGCAGCAGCGGCAGCAGCAGCGGCAGCAGCGGCAGCGGCCGGCCTATACGCACCTGGAGTAAAAGGCATCATTTGGGAAGGTAACGTCGGACTTGCTTGATCCTTTACGCAAACCTCGCTAAGTCTTTGCGCAGCGAGTGCCGTAGGTGTAGCCGGTGGACTGTTACTTCCTCCTACTTGATGATTGTCCTCGTCCGAATCGCTCTTATAAATCTGCGTCTGATTGGCATCCGCGTGCCCAGGCGAACCAGCTTGGCTGTCGACGGACGGTGCCGGGGACAAAGTTACCGAATTTGCTGACATCAGGGTGGCTAGATTAGCGTATGGATTTTCTGTCCACGTAGGCGTAGGTGGGTGCGAATGAGGACTAAGCGGGTAAGCCGACGGTCTGGTAGGAGTTACTGGACTACTGGGAAGGCACCTTTGCAACTGATTAAAATCGCGCGCGAGCATTGCCAAGACATTGTGCAAGACGTCACCCGCCCCGGGGCACCTTTCTCCAAGATCGGCTTTCGTTAAAAGGCAAAGTGCTTTTCCATTCATCTGGAACATATCCATGTCGAATTGCGGCAAATCAAATTCCCTTTCGGCCCATCGTAGAAACGCTGCGACGTCTTCTCTCGACCAAAGTCGCGGATCGGAGGCTGTAAGAAGCGCGATAAATAATATATATCCTTTGAATCTCTGCTACATAATAAGGACGCGCGACTTCCTCTAAGAGTTTCCTCTTACCTAAGCTTGGAGGCAAGTGCGTCTTAAAATCGAGCAACGGACTCGGTGGTGGATGCGTCGTTGGTGGAAAGTTCATACTTGGTCCGTATCGCCAAAGCAAATCCGTAGGATTAAAGGGCAACGTTATACCCTGTTGTATTCGAGAATCCATCCCGGTTAATCCGCTCGCGGCGGAAACCGGCGGTAATTGTGGCAATTGAATCGCTGGCAACAATTTCATAACACGCCTCGTCTTCCTGCAAAGAACAAATATAAGTTAGACCAAAAGTTTAGCCCAATCTAAGGTGCGCGAATGCTGCGATATGTGTGTGTACGCTATAGAAAATATATTTAGAAGATATATTTAAATATCTCGAGGTAAACTACGAAACGATGATTTGTATCGATCAGCCACGAGGGACCACCACGCTAATTCGACTCGAGCGCTCTCATGTCTCCCGAGACTATGTTGTCTCGTACGATAGACATCCGAAAGGTTTGCGCGATCATTAGCATATAATGTAGAGGCATACAAAATGAAAGACAGCAGGAAAAGGTGTATCCGTTCTCAATGTAGATTTGCATAACTTATTTCCATCGACGTCAAAGCTATTTTCGTTCCGGTGGATCTCTCGCAAAAAAGGTCTACGACAGGAAAGAATCGAAACTTTTACAATCGTCTATTCACCAGGTCGTAGCATTACTTACTATAATATTAGTTGTATGAACTATACGAATGTCTTCGAATGTCGGTCAAACTGTTGATTAAATAATGATTCACGTAATTTCATGCTAGACGTACGAAATAGGAACGTAGAGCATACGAGAGAGTACTATGTACGTAGCGTAAAGTATGAGAGTCGAGCTATGCCAGAGCAACGTCGGTGTCACTTTCTCGAAAAGGAAGTAAGTAACTACACACGTTGCGCCAACAGACGAAGGCGCCTGTACATGTTTCTTTAATAATTATCTACGTATGAAGGATAATTTAGATACATTGTCGATTGATTATGCGAACACAAAGTAAGGCAATTTCAAAGAATTCGCTTTTATTTGTTCACAAACGCACGAACAAATGTTAGTACTATAATAATAACTAACTGGTATTTGGAAGTACAACCAGGAAACGCAAGAGGAAAATCCTTGCTTTGCTTCCATCATATAGCGCAACATCATTTCTCTTTCCCTTGCGTACGGTTGAAACGATAACAGGTGGCTTTTTTTAAGTTTTCTTCGTTAACGATCGAACACGCTTAATATAAGATATTGTGTTGCATCGCAATAGAGAGGAAATATGAGCAAGATACGGAAAAAATATAAGCAAATCGCGACAAAGAAATGCGTTCTTGGAAAATGACGCACTGGTAATACTCGTTACGCGTAGAAATAAATGAAAGTGTATGTCAAAAGTAAATCTTAGTAAATCTCTAGCGGGATGAGGGTTGATAATTTAGATTTGATTCATTAAAATCTGGATAATAATCGATAGATCTTTATTGAATATAGATAGAGAAAAGGTTGTGGTAAGCGTTACGCGCTCGTAACGTAATCATTCGTTACGCGTGTGGCTATATAAGCGCTCCTCTCGCGTGGCTCCAAATCGGTCGACCGATACCAGCCGAGATCAGACGGAGAAAGTCGAGCGCCTACGCTCCAAGCGTAACGGCACATACAGAGCTACCGGATTCTTCTCCCACTCCTTATACATACATATATATTCCTTTTAGCAGAGATCGAGGAACAAGGAAGCATTCTTTCATCCCATATTTCATCTTATATTTCATCTTTCTCTTCATCGACCTTTACGAATTTCCAATCAATCGAAATTTATTTATATTCCATACGCATTCGACGCTTCTTGTCCAATTTGGACAACAATTGCAATTTCTTCAAACAAATTGATAAGGAAGAATAACAATAGCGAGACGAACGTGCTTTATCGTATTTCCAATGGCGGTGGCCCAAAAGCGGTGGCCCAAAGGCGATGGCCCCCCGATGGCCCAAAGCCGACGACTGCTAACCACCACCTTCGAGCTAACACCAACGTGTGTTCTCTTTGTAAATCTATAAACTGTCTTTGCGCGTGCGTAAAACATCAATGCGGAAAATAAAATTGGCCGTATGATTGGCGGCAAATTCGTCTTACGTGCATTCCTAAGTAATCTTGTTAAACTTTTAACGGTCTTGCGAAATAATAAGGAAGGAAAAAATAAACTCTATGTACGGTTAAGCAAGTCTACATCACGCGTGCACGTAACGCTCCGAGCGATAAATCGTTTCTAACATAAGCCTGAACATCCAATACCTAACATTCAGATATTATGTGCACATAAAGACGCTTTTCTATTCTTTTTCTTTACGAAAGACTCGCAACTTGGGTTATCGTTCGCGATGACACACACACACAGACAAAGTCGACGGCAAAGTCGTGTAAAAATCGATTATGCGATTTGGAATGAATTAACACTTGCAACGATCGTATTTAATTTTCATTGCATTCGATTGAAATTAAAATGACTCGTTACGCATAAAATGTCTATTTAAAGCGCCTTTGTATATTATCAATTGTTCTTGGATATTGATATGTACTTAGGTAAAAAAAAAAAAAAAGAAATAAATATGCACGAATAATTAGCATCGACAAAAATCTCGTACAATTAGAAGTACGTGTATATTATATGCGATCGATGTCAATAACTCTTGGTGGAAGATGTTTTTTGAGTACAGACAACGGTCGTGATAGTGGACGATAATGGTGCTCATCGAAATCATTGGACTTTCCATGTTTCTTTCTTGTTCCTTTGGTACTTCCATCCTGCATAGAAAGAACTCCTCAGTCTCGTCGCGTCTCATCTCGTCTCTTTTCTCGCGTTTTTCTCTTTCCGCGTGCGTGCACGCTAGCATACGTCCGTTTACGAAAGCGAACGGAGTACGATGTCCACGAGAGCACGTGTGAACGCAGCCTAACTATGTGGGCTGTGCACTCGACTGATAAAACGCTTCAGCGACGTGTCAGTGACCCTCCTCCCTCCTACTCTCTCTTTCTTCTTTAAATGCGCGTGCGCTCGCTCTCCTTTTTCCTTCTCATTCCTCCTCATTCCTCTTTCTTCTCTTATCCGACATCTTCATGATGTCTGTCCAAGGTTTCGAAATACATATTATAGTTCGCGTTCGTATCTGCACGCTCGAAAAAAGAATGAAGTACCTAACTTAAGGGATAACGCCACTCTAGTGCTCCAAGAGATAGCCTATTTTTGGGGGATTTTTTTATAGGGATATGGTAAGTGCAAGACAGAATTCGTTTAAAGGACTTTATTAAATACACTTCTAACAACACCAACATTCGCAATTTGTTCCGTTACATGCCGTCACAAAATGGCAGCGTTACAGCTTAGCAAAGCAAATCTTATATCGATAACAATGTATGATATAGAGATTATCTTTCAAAGAGCGCGTAGGATATTTTGCAAATATTATTTACGTTGGAAATGGTACACGCGCAGATAAATGTCAAATTTTTAACAAAATTGTTTATAAAAATAACAATCTAATCCTATATTATTAGGAAATATATAGTTTTTTCGTAATCAAAAATTATAGAATAAATTTGTCCGCCAGCGGGAACACTGTTTTCGATCTAAGATTTTCTTTGCTAAGAAATCTTAATCTAAGCTGCAATTTTGTGGCGATTTGCGATGAAAAGATTTGTCAATGTTGTTGAAAGTTTATATGGGACGAATTTTGCCTTCCACTTATCCATATTCCCATAAGATTTTGTGAGCGCTAGACGCGTTGGGGGGATTGGACTCGGTCCGGAGTACCGATTCCAAGAACTTGGACGACACGAATTGATCTTATGTTTGAGAACTACTGCTTGCGTTACAAAGAACAGCGACGAGCCCTCCGATGCACGTGCATGCGAGTACCGTCGACCGGAAGTCGATGAAAAAAAAACCTAGTTCACCCTCGTCACTCGGCACCAGCTTCTCTTCATGGGAACCAACCTCCTCTTCTTTCTCTCGCACATCAGCGCGCACGCACATCAGCGCGCACGCACATCAGCGCGCACGCACGACGCGTACGCACGCACACGTACTATGCCACACACATACGAAAGCGATTCGTTTCATCTCGATCTTCCTTGTCTCTTACTCGACGCTAGAAGAGGTCTGTTCAATTTCCAACTTATCGTATAAGTAATTCTCTACTTTTGAACTACGCTCCCTTTGTCCATAGCAATTTGCTTTTTCGAGAAAAGACAATTTTTATCGACACCGAAAGTAGATTTGAAGAGAAGAAAAAAAGAAAAATGGGCGCGCGATAGATGAGCGCGAATTAAATTACGACCCTCTTGTTTGCTCTCTCGCGCTTACGAGAAATGTTATTTATGTTTTTCTCCAACAATCAAACGGTATCCGCATTCAGCGACCTTCGTATTATTCGTATCTACCGCGATTTTATTCAAGGATAACTGTTGCTTCTAACTAAAGTCATAGACGGAAGTTCCCAGTAAGAGAAGGTTAAAACAGAAACGGGATTGGAAATTTCGAAAAAGTTTCTTCTACCGAAAGACTCATCGTGAAAAGATGAAGGCTTTTTCTTAAAGAAATAAAAACAAAATATGTGAAGAAACGATACGCGTTGGCAGGTAAGGTCGACTGGCTGATCCCTTTAATTCTCTGGCCTCTATAACCATTAAAAAGGAATGGTGGGAGGAGCCGGTCGCAGGTAGTCCGTAAATCTTTTCCGTCACCTGCATTTTACCTGCCGCTGAAGTACCATAAGACGCGAGGGTAACTCGTGCACTATAACGCGTTCTCGCGCAGATACTTTCTTCGACATATAAATGAATAATCGAATAGCTGATTAGGTCGTTAATAAAATGATCTATAGTTCCTCTGCTTTTGTAACGTCAACTCCTATAAAAGAGGTATAACAATGTAATTGAATCATGTTTTCTAAAAGTACCACGAAATTTATCCGTAAGGGAGTGAAACGTGCCAAGAGGGAAGTATGCAGAGAGAATGGAAGACGCGCGCGCGACCAATCAAATTGGTAACTATAGTACGACAAAAACTTTCACGAGAGAGAAAGAGATAGAAACGCATACACATTTTAGGATTTATTATTCCTGCGAATAATTTACAAATAATTTAACGAATACTAAATCTAAAACAATTTTATTGGCACGTTAAAATAACTTGAAAAAGGAAGCTTCGACACCTATCGTTGGTTGAAAATTTGATATCGTTGGTTGGTTCCAAATATCAAGGACAAGATTACCTTGGATGAGCGAAGATAAAAGATAAGTAGTTCAGACCCTTTCGCGAGGTCCAAGTAAAGAAAATGCGAGGAAAGGGAAGATGGAGATATAAGAGAGAAGAACTATCGTCGTGTCTCTTGTCCCGGATCCGCCGACTAGTAATAATAGTTATCCCGACGGCAAGGAATGCCAGCAGAGTTGTTGCCCTGTGAGTAGCGTCGTATGTGTGAAATACGAGAAGGAACTTGACGTTCCACATAAAACGAACGGAAGCAAGTCGGTTTCGATCGGTTTACTTTTTGTAAAGAGCATCCTCTTATAAAAAAAACGTTAAATAAGGAAAACGTTGGACAATGAAGCAACCTCTCCCTCTATTCGTTCTTTGATCAAAATAAAAATCTCTTATTGTTTCGAAGTAAGGATATTGAAAAATTTGGATAACTCGTTAGAAAAAAACCAACAACTGTCACTTCCTTTTCCTCTATCTTTTTCTTCCCCGCAACTCCGACCGAACGGATTCTTTCAAACGGCAGCAAGAGGAGCCGGATGCCATCCATCGTGTCCGCCAGTTTCCTTTTGCTTAGTTTTTCTTGCTTCGTCGGTCAAAAGATACGGTAAAAGGCGGGAATACGAAAAGCAGAGTTTCTCTCTCTCACACGCTTACACACACACAAACGCGCGCCTGCTCGTCTTTCTATTCGACGGCAAATACAAGGAAGGACAATGAGGAAAGAAGAAGAAGAGAACCTCTTCGGAAAGGAAAAGATCTGACAAGACGCCAATGAAGCTCCATTCCTCGCCTCTTTTACAGGCGATAAAGAAGAAAAAGAGGACCAAGGTCCGTGCTTCCGGTCCGGATACCGACCGGTTCTTCTCTTTCGCTAAAGCAAAAGAGAAAAAACGATGAAATGAGAAAAGAAGCGGATATACCTCTTCCTTCGTTCGCAGAACATACATATTATGTTTCATTGTATTTATCGATTGAAATAGTTAATAAAATGAAGTTACAAAGATTTCATAAGGATATATTTTGGATCATACTTTGGATCAACCTTTGCATCAACTAATGGATAGAAAAAATAATTGGAAGAAACCTATAAGAAGACTATGCCGATTAAAGATGTCGTAAGTAGATAGTTACAATGCGAATATGGCGTTCCTTACCACGCCTTAACTGTCGGAGACACGTCTCGCGTCTGACGTGTTCAGCCGTTTCTAAGCCTCGTGGCGTCACGCGTACGCTTGCTTGTGTTATTCTAATTATATGTATGTATTTATGCTTGAACGCAAGGAGTAAAAATGATCAAGTTAATTATCTTCAACGTTATCTTTGTGTTACCTAAAATATTTCGCATTCTTTACAAGTAGTTGCTCTAGGCATCATCCTCCGTTCCGAGTTGAGGGCCGAAACATTAAAAAAGCATAAAAAGAATAAAATGTTTGTATGAAGGTCGTTCCAAAGTTGGCGGTGCGTTATCACACAATGTTCACAAAGATCGATCGAGCCCTTCCCTTCTGGGTCCTACAGAAATCTCCATTTCTCTTTCCAAACCACAGTATATACTGCTTCCTCTCTCTTACTTCCGGGTTCGAGGCTCTTCCGGTGAGCTCGACGCAATAGCGTTGAAAGGGCTCTCCCTCCTCTCGTCCCACTTCCTTTCTCCGGCGGCTTTCCTCCCTCGCTCCTCCCTCGCTCCTTCCTGGCTCCTTCCTCGCTCCTTCCTCGCTCCTTCCTCGCTCCTTCATTGCTATCGTCATCGTCGTCGTCGTCGTCGTCGTCGTCGTCAACGACGAAACGCTTTCTTACCAAAGCCGCCTTTAACCAAGCTCACCACCCTTCGTGTACTTCCCCTTTTGCCACTCCTTTATCCATCTTTACGTGTGTGTACTTGCCCGCCCGCACGCATGCACGCACGCACGCACCATTGTATATACCTTTTCTTGGCATTCTCTTTGCTATCCAAGAAGCACTTTTATCTTATTCGCAATCGTGATCGATCACGGTGTTCAAAGATTTTCTAATGGCAAAGCTTTCATATGAGACGAATAAAAAAGTAGTTGCGCGTGTCATAGGCCGTTGCGAAAGATATCTACTACTGCTACTGATCGCGCTTTGATTTATGGTCAAAGGATTACCTAAATAAATACATACTTGGAATGAAAACAACGATAATGAGAGATGAAAAAGAAGCAAAGGTAAGGAAGAAAAAATGGAATAATAGCGTGAACAAGAGGCATTATACACATATATATATATATATATATATATCTCGGTATATTATACACCTATATTATACTCCCACCCTTGGGAGCAGACAGTAGAGAAGAGTAAGTCGGAAGAGAGTGGGAAAAGAGTGGGAAAAGAAACGGGGGGCGCGGTGCGGAGCAAAGTAAGAAGGAGAAGACGGAAGAGAGAAACGAGGGAGGGAGAATAATCCGATGGTAGGAGAAGAGAGACTGGAAACGGAAGGACCGAGAGAGGACAAAGGGGGGGAGGAGTGGCGAGAAACGGAAAGGTGAAAAGCGGGAAGGGGAAGAAAGGGAAGAAATAGTGAGCGAGGAGAGGAAAGGAGAGGAGAAACGACCTTTTCAATGTAATCACATCGAGCTTGTCTCACAGAAGCGTCGGCAACCAGGAAGCAAAACAGAAATAGGTGACCGCAACGTGCAGTATGCTGACGGACGACGAATTCCTACACAAAATGGACCTATTATTTCTTTTTACTCTCTCATCCAATCTATCTTGATCAAATATAAACATTTTTTTATGCACACCCATCCCCGTTCTATGAAATTCCCAAATTAACCAACTTTCCAAAAAATACTAAACTTGCGTAACTAAAGTAAATAAAAAGTTGGAAATAAGTATTTTCGATCGTTTCAACGAGAACACGAGTTTGTCTACTTGATTTGCTACGCATCATCGAAGAGAAACCGGAAAAAGAGGGCATTTAAATCATTCTTTCTGTTGACTTTATACGAGATATACGCGGATAAGCAATTAATATAATCACATTTATTTCACAGCGCGCGCTCGTTGCTGGCGCAGGACGAGAGAGAGAGAGAGAGAGAGAGAGAGAGAGAGAGACGAATAGAATCTTTTTTATTCTTCCTCGCTTCACATTTCATTTACTAATCTTGATTTATCGCACTTTCTACTCGATGATAATAACATCAATCGACTTGTTAAGAAAATATAATGCAAGAATAAAATTTGGACAAACAAGGTAAAGTAGGTAATTGTTTAGTTAGCTTGTTTCCTTCAAAATTTGCATATGCAAATAAGCAATTGAAGGAACGCAACGCGTTTCCAAATCGCGTGATCATCGGTACGCGTTAAACTCATCGAACTATACATGTATCTAGCGATAACGATAACGATAACGATAAGAATGTTAGGAAGTCCGTTAGAAAAAATCCAAACGTATCTCACGGTTCTCTTCGCTCTCCCTAATGATATCCCATAGCTAATTAGAAATAAAAGAGATAGATAGATGATGATTCTCGATGGCGCGCGCTTGCGATTTATCAATACGAAGTTTCTTCTGCAAAGAAAAACAAAGATGCGACCCAAATAGTTTATCGAATGAACTGTTAGACAGAGCTATCGCGTTCAATGTTTTCTTTATTTTTGTCATTAATATTATATTAATAAGAAGAATATTATTTATCATCGAAAAAGAGAGAGATGTACGTTTGTAAGATACATATGATATTCCATTTGGATCATTTTGCATTGTCTCTCGACGCGGAAAGTTTAAAAGAAAGAAACTGAACACGCGTTCGCGGATGATACTAGACCCGTACGATAAACGCGGAAGTCGTATGGATCGAATCGTAGGTAAGAAATGTGTGATGATCGACCTCGTTATTCCTTTTCTTTACGTTAATTGAGAATCGTTTATCCAAAATACAAGGGAGAAAAGGAAAAAGTACCTCGATGAAAGTATCTTTCGGCAGATTTATCAAATCTCTCCGCGCTGCGACGAAACTTGTTAGATCATCCCCGCTTAGAGTTACGTCCCGATCTTCCAGCTCCTCTTCCTCCTCCCCTTGCCACCTTCTCCACGCCTCCTTCTTCCGTTTCTCCTCCTAGTGCCGTGGCTGTTGTGTGACGTGACGTACCGTCTCACGATATCATCAATGTGACCCAACGTTGATCGACCCCTTAACCAATCTATCTTCCGATGACTTTTAATCGGCATTCACTCGATAGAGATACTTTCTTTCGAGTTCATCGTTCAACGAATAGTTCAACTACTATTTCTTTTCTGGAGGGAAAAACTTCCCTCTTTCTCTCTCTCTTTCTCTCTCTCTCTCTCTCTCTCTCCCTCTCTCTCTCTCTCTCTTTCTTAATTACGCACGCACGTACAAACATACACGCGTACGTATGTAGACACCCACACCCGCACCCACACTCGTCGCACCGAAAGAGAGAGAGAGATCCAATTGTGGATTAACAAAACGTCACTGCTCGCGCACGTGAGTACACGTCGAAGTTAGACGAACGTCACCGACAGCTCGCTCAGCGATGCTGCGCAATGTACTACTCGATGGACAGAAAATAATAACGACGAGGATGTTAAATATCCACACGAACTGCGCACACTTGAGGCTCATTTATCTCTAACAAGTCACAATTCCGTATCAACCATCTGTCGGCAAGCAGGTCTTTCCTCCTCGAAAAGTTTCCTTCCTTTAACGAAAGGAAAAATGGGATAAAATTCGAAGAAGGGATAGCAGAGTGATCGAGAAGATCGGAGAGAGAGAGAGAGAGAGAGAGAGAGAGAGAGAGAGAGAGAGATAGAAAGAGAAAAAAGGAGAAAAAGATTGAGCGCGCGCGCGCCCCAGAAAGAGATAGAGAGGGAGAGGAAGAGAGGATAGAGGGGAGAGATCTAGATATGCCTGCCGGCTTAAGCTCGTCAAAGAGACATTTGGTAGTGTTCTTTGAGAGCAGTGGTGGTTAGAGCGGTGGTGGTTAGAACGGTGACAACGGCAGCAATAATTTCCCGTAACTCTCCTGTATATTCCTATTCGTTTTTGTTTCCTCTCTTAGAGGGATAGAGACGACACGGTCTCACGTACGAGTGGCAAAGTGCAAACGAAGCGTCGGAAGTAAGAACAGGGAGCGAGATGGAAAGACACGCGTCTCGAAGCTGCCGAGTGACTAAGCTCGTCCAAGTCGCGCGAGTCATGCAGTAGGAAGTATCGCCTACTTGCTTGCCGCCAGATTCTATCCCCACTTTGGTATCGTCGATATCGCCAACGCTCTACTCGGAGAGATGGAAAGAGAGCGCCCTGATCCACCACTGGTGTGCCCCGTCGATGCGCGCGCCCGATGCGCACCGTTCATCTGCGTTAACTTGTCCCACTGCTCTCCAATTCTCCTTCAAAGATACTGACCACTTGTTTGGATCGACGTCTTCCCGATTAATACAGAGAGCAACCCTTTCCATCCCTTCTCGGACTCGCACCCCATCAAGTCGTAACATTTCGTCCAAGTAAAGTTGCCTAATACGAATCAAAAAAACTAATGAAAAAAGATATTGATGCAAGAGAGAAAACTATCAAATGGCCTAGTCTTCGCTTATCCGAAAAATATGATACAAGGGAGAATCTACCGGCAGATGGCAGCACCATCTACGAGGATATTTACGCTCACATATTTTTTATCTTACGTTTAAATAACCCTCTTTGTCGGATAGAATTGCATCTTACCGATGCGACGATCGTCTTACTGGTTTCGCATATTTCATCTTTTACTAGTTACTTCGAATTTTTTGAAAAGCACCGCGTTCATCTACCTACCGTCCAAAGTCAAACGCTATGTAATTCCCGCGGCACTCATTGGAGAAGGAGCTTCACCAATGAGACGCCGATGTTAAGCGCTTCTTTCGCGAAGAGAAATAATCGAAGTGCAGCTACGATAAACGGGTAGGGAACTCCGACGGAAGATTGTGGAAGGGGATTCGCTGACTTCCTCGTAGCTTCCTCGTAATCGTTATCGCGATTGTCGGCACCGAGTTAACCCCAACCGATCGTTGACACTCAAGGAGAATGAAACCGCGCGGACAAACCGCTTTTCGAAGTGTCCAAAAACCAAAGTTATCTGTCGTGCGACATCGCTTGTATTTACTTATATTGTAGGTCGCTCTTAGATTGACCGCCTGCACCAAGTGCCGAGTCCGTTTGATATGTATGTAGGTATGCAAGTGTTCATTACTTTTCCAAAACTATTATTTTCTGGGAGTCCTCTCTTTAAATCAAATTCCTTCGGCTTCGAATTATATTTACCTTTATATTACTTTCGATATCTAAACCATTACATCGTTGATCGTCGCACTACTCCTCCGAGTTGCGTAATCTCTACTCTCTTTCTCTTTCTATTAATCCTCGAATATATTTTATTTGACATTTTTTTTTCTCGATAGATCGTTCCAACCCCAACGCAAACTCTAGGATGCGTTCGAAACATATATTACAAAAGTAAAAAGTAAGTAACATAAGAACGATATTGTTTGGTGAAAAAAAAAGCGCGCCAAACACCGTGACCAGCACCATCAGTCACAAGCACCATAGGAATCGGTGGTACTCATAAGCCAGGCGAGCAGGCAGGGCAGGATATAACAGGTAAAACAGGTTTGTGGGCGTCCTAAGAGAGCTACCTGTACCGCTTCTTCGGAGCCCTTCCGATCATCGCGCGTCTCTTCCCCCAAACTTCGGTCTTTCCTTTTGATACAGGAACCCTCATTTCTACGGAAGGAAGGGTCTCCGAAAAAGATGAGAAAAAAGGTCATGTGACGGTAGAAGGGAGAGGAGCAGGAAAGGGAAACGGACCGAGTCTACCGCCTATGAATACACGTTCACCTGCGTTAGCGTGAACGCGCTCGTAACATAATACCAGGAGGATCGCCTCGTAGAAATGCCAAAAGAATTTAGTTACAAGAGCTTGCGTTGTCCAGGGACTCTTCGGGACGCCTTCGAACCTTCGACGAACCTTTTCTATATACGCGCGCTTTTACAAGCGCGTTTACCCCCTCCTACCTCCAAACACGATTTAGATATTTTCACGGAGTACGCGCATCGTTTTTTTCTTATCGTTCTCGGCTTTGACGTTTCAAAAGCAATGGTCCGGGCTTGCGATTAGTTAGGAAATCAAATCTTTTACAAACAATCGAATAATAACTATGAATCGCGTCGAAAGATTAATGAATATCAAAAACGCTTGCTATTATTTTCTCAAGTTTTTTTTTTTCTATTAAACATTCGATTACACCATAATATATTCCAAATGTGCATATACGTGTATATACTTGGCTATAGAATTGTTCGACGTGTAAAGGTATGTGTGAGCGCTTGGTTGTGGAAGTGCGCGCGCTTATGTATGTGTGTATAGAAATGTACATTTTAAAGAACAGGCAGTTCGCTTTCAATTCGCTTTTGAGATAGCGCGGAAGAGCGAAGAAGCTTCATCTTCTTCTTCTTTTTCTCCTCTTCTTCTTCTCCTCCTTCTTGGAGCTGCTTTTGAAAAGCTAGCAAAAGGACCACCCTCCTTTCTTTGACTGATCGCACGTAAATTTTGAAAGAATCCACGGGTCCATTGTAGATAATCGGTCGTGCGAGAAAAGAAATTTTCCTTCGCCGAGCCGACCTTAAAACTTCCCACATACCTGCGTAGTGATTAATGTCACGCCTGTTCGAGACATTTTTTAACTTGTAAATATATATTTGGTCGTAGATATTACATTTGTTTGGATTAAAAGCTAAGAAATGTAAAACTAGTAAAAAGATAGAAATACTTTGGTGAGGTATATTACTCTAAACGTAATTAAATGATCGATTGAAATCCCGGAGACGTATCTTATTGTTTTATTGCTCGATGGCACTTTGTAATCGACGCATATCGCATTTACGATAGAGCATCGAACGCTGTAAGCGGAGTGGTTTAGTAATCCGGCAGCGGCGCTTGCGCAATCCAGGAATTTCTCATGCGAGGCGAAGGAAGGAAATTGCGTTGCCCAATTAGAAATCGCGGGAGACCGCAAAAGGAGGAAAGGAACGAGATAAAGAAAACGAAAAGAAGAGAAAAGTTAGGGAAGAGAAAGAGGAAAGGATAATCGTAAGAAAGAAGAAAGAGAGTAGGTATACGAGTGGAATTTCGATTTCCTTCCGCCGTAAGAAAAATAAATGCCAAATGCAAAAAAATACTACTTGAGTTAAAAATCAAAGAAAAAAATCGCACTGGAGACATCATCGCTCGTTAATGAAATGAGTGGTTACTCGTAAACCACGTTACTCGTAAACCAAGTTACTCGCAACCCGAGGGAGAAAGGAATAATAAATTAGTTTGGATGTCGCATCGAAATGTCATCGTATCTCTTTCCACGTTATTCCCACCAAAAGCGGTCAACTTATCGATCGGCCAAAGTTATTTTAGTAGTCACGAATTCATTGTGTCTGGGCTTTTTTTCATCGCGATTCGCGAGGATAGCACATCTGAACTCAGAGCCCAGGCATTCTATGGCAAGGAGCGATGACGAGGCCTTTGCAGGAATCCGGTCTCTTCTTTCCCCCCCTCCTTTTGCTTTTCTCGAACGATTACGACACTGCTCCTCTCACCTCCGCCTAATCCGAAATGCCGTGTTGCAGAAGCACTGGAATGAAGGAGGACGAGCGCTCCAAGAAGAAAGAAAAGGGTAGGAGGGCAATCGACGGTGCGGCAGGGTTTGCTGTTGTGTTTGCCCAACAGCTCCACTCGTCATCCCGGATGTGCAACATCTTTACATGCTATTCTTCGATGCAGTTACCTACCAACGCGATTCTTCTCTTTTTCATCTATTAACGAGTCTTATTTAGCTATACCCCTTAACTATACATAGAGACATGTACGTACCCGACATATGTCGTATAAATACGACACCGAAACCATATAGTAACATATTACAATAAATATTCGACCAATTGACTTTTCAATTAGACGATTATTTAACGAATAATAGAATCGTTTGGTTATTCGACTGAGAATCCGACCGAACGAGTATTCGTCGTTGGTTCGTTTGGAGAAAGTGTCTCTTGTACGATGCCTTAAGGCGCATTTCACATGCGCTTTAAGAGCTCCGGCAAAGCGAGTTCCGACTCGCGAGCCGTGTGTTAACGCACGCTCGGCTTATGTAATCGGTTACGGTAATAGCGTAGTTATAGCAATCCGGGAGCAACCAACGGGTAACACAATTCCTTGTTAATACGCTAACGAATACACTAGCTCCTACATTGTACGTTCCTATCGTCAATTTTCATTCGAGATTCCTCTTTCAAGCATAACAACTAACAAGTACGACTTTTAAGGTGGCCAAGCATTTTATCCATTCTTTGACTTATTTATCTACAAACCACGAGCCGAAATTACGATCATTTTCTTTTTTTTCAATGCAATATGAGTTAGAGTTGTAATTGAATAATGCGTTAACGTTCGAACGTAGTAAACTCTGACGATCGAACGAACGATAAGGAAGAAACTCTTGAAGTGAGCGGCAGACGCTTACAGCAATGGCGACTTCATGATTTGACCCGTCGAGCCGACGAACCGGTTATCAATGCTCGGAAGCGTGTCGTTCGGCTCGATTACGATACGTCCTCGATGTAGGTGAGTACAGGAGCGTATCGTGGCGCACCTACCCTACGCGAATTATTGAAATCTCGAAGCCTAGTTAGCATTACTCTCTATCACCGCTATTTAACGAAAAGTCTTTTTTAAGGAAAGAGCAACCCTGAAAACGGATTGCTTCAACCTTCGAACAAAATTTTTTGCGTTAATTTGAAAAACGTGTAGGTAGGTACGTAGGTAGGAATTGCATAAGTCTAGGTACGTACGCGAGCACTCGCAAAGGCAAAGAGAATCGGATAGGAAGACGAACGAGCGGAACTGAGGTCCGTGGAGCTTCCTTTCCTTTCGACATGCCTGGCTGCCTTCTCATCCTCTCCCACAGATTACAACCAACTTTTCTCTCTCTCTCCCTCTCCCTCCCTCTCTCTCTCTCTCTCTCGCGCGCGCGCGCGAGCGTCCAGCAATACCTTCACTTGCTTGCTTGCACGAGCAGTACACGCTCGTGTACAGGTTCTAATACGCGTTCACCTTCTTACTCTCCCTCTCTTGCTTACCGATGTGTAAGCACTACCACGTTAACAACGAGCAACGAGCCGCTGCTAATACTACTAAGAACAACAGTAATGGTCGTAAGACTATTCGAATCGGAGCAGGTCTGAAAAAGAAGGAACTACGTTGGACGCACCTACTTCCGGGATGCGTCTTACCTCGGCGCACCTTCGCCAACGAGTGATGATACGTTCTTAACGATCTACATCTCATGTTTTAATACAATCGCCCATTATCGAAATCTTATTTTCTCACGGATTAGACAAATGTTAACCGAACCTTATTAAGAACGCAATTCGTTCCTCCGTTTTAGTCTTAACAAGACTTTGACTTGACAAATCATTTTCGAAGGAATGATTTTGCGAGTAAAACGTTAGCGCGCTTATAATGGAGGAAGCCATTACCTCATTCCGCATCCTTAGGTTCCTATCGAACCACTCTACCGACTCGACCGACGATCGAACCACTTTACTTTCTACCTAAGGTTCGAACTTTAGCAAAAGAAGAGGATTAAACGCAGGATACGTCACTGGAAAGATTCTACTTCGATTGCTCATGACAAAGGTATTCATAAATTCCTCCTATAACGAACAAATCAGAGTATATCGAATATCTTTGCGACCTCGAGAAAATGCTCATAGCACGATAACCGCTAACGCCGACGAGTTGGAGTAACATTAAATTCATTGTGACCTTATCTCCAAGCCTGCGTACTTTCACCTACTCGAAGCACGGCTCTATGTTCAAATATATGTACAATAGTTTAGCGCGCTATCCATACGATGCTTCAAATTGATGCATATATATATATATATATATTGTAATGATAATTAACAAGTTGAATCGCACGAAAAGGTCCTTTTTCTCATGCGAAAAGAAGAAGAAGCAAAAATTAGAGTTACCTAAAATTATGTAATCGCTTTCTAGCGAAATTACTAACGCAATCTTTTTGCGCGATCAATCCCTTTTAATGAAAACCCTTCGAGTTTTACGAAGAGCATGAAATTTTAGCAAAAAATTCCAGCCGATCTGCAAATGTATGAAATTCCATCCGTTCACCGATTTTCTCTTGTCACGACAACATAAGGTGCGCATAAGGTGAAGGTATCGATTGCGCAACATCTATATTATGCAACGACTTCCTGCTGTTATCCAATCGTCCGGAGCACAGGAACTCGATATAGTTGCACAGTCGCTATTTTCATAACTTTTCTTTTTCTTAGCTTCATCAAAGTGTTCGGATAAATGAAATTATCCACGTAATAACAAACAGGTTTTTTGTCTATCCAGATATCTATAGTTCGGGAACGAGCATTTTGCGCGTACGTAAGTAATTAGAGAATTACTTTGCTAGTGCCAAATCTAAACGATTACTAACTAGATCTCTCTTATTCGCATTTCTACGTACCTATCTATTCTACTAACAATCAATCGGAAGGCTTCGTCGTATACTCGTGCAGAAGAATGTAACGAACTTTTATAGGAAGCCGTAACGCGCATCTGACATTTGGAACCGTTGCGAAAGCGACTGTGGGAAGTTCTACGCGAAGCTGATATTTACGCGCGAAGAAAGTAAAGGCACCAGCCATGATGTTTCGAGTTCGATCGATTCTCGCTTGCCGTAAACAAGTTAAATACGATTCTTTATCAATTTGCTATTTCGATATGAAACTTAATTGAGAGATTGTCGTCGTACTTTAATTGAGTTGGCCCTTGGATCATAAGGGCTCTTGACAAAAAATAAAGGGAGATTGGAAATAACTCGTGTGTGAAACCCATAGGACGCTCGCAACGATCGTCCGTCCATATTAATGCTCGAAAGCGTCGCTGATGCAATCCTGGTATTCGTAGCAAGTAGAGATAGACGATAAATCATGTATTTAACACCCTGCTCTCTCTTACCTAGCCTTGAGTCTACGTCGCACGAGCATATATCGTATTTAAGGATAGTAATCCGAACGAACGCATATCATAGACGGTTGATTTTCTTTTGCTTTTACTACGAGACAAGGTAAATGTTTGAAAACTAAGGCATTCTCGTTATCGCGAGCTATGTACTAGCGAGGAACCTACTACTAGGATGTGTGGATGTTGCTTTCATTAGGTTCTCAACTATCGACAATTGAGAAAAATATTTTATCAGCATTATTATCTCGAGATATATATATATATATATATACTTTTGAAATAGAAAGAAATTTAATTCTTTTCTGCAACAACATATAGTTATGCAGATGGTAAAATGGTAATTGCGAGAGAGAAGAAATCGTGATGTTCGTTCGCGTTGAGAAACGCTCGGTTGGATGGCAACTCGGTGGTGGATGCTATCCACTTGCACGTTCTCCAGACAGAAAAGAGAAGTAGGAGAAATTCTGGCGCGGAGCGTTACTTCCTGTTCAGTCGTCGCAGAAACTCCCGAGGGTTGGCTGGCTGGGAGGCATTTCATTTCCTTGGCGACTTCCGGCAAACGCGACGCTTCCGCCGTATCGGGACCGGGGCCGCCGTCGGCGTCGTCGTCGTCATCGTCGTCGTCGTCGTCGTCGTCGTCGTCGTCGTCGTCGTGGTAGTCGTCGTCGTCGTGGTAGTCGGCGTCGGCGTCGGCGTCGTGTTCCTGCCCCACCCTTGTTCCGGTTCCCGTTTCATCCGCTTCCAACCCAACCACCCTTCTAGGCAACCAATCAAACGACCGACCAACCAACCAACCGACCAACCAGTCAGCCACCTACCCAGACAGCGAAGCAACCAACCAATCAGCCAACCGTTCGACCGACCGACCGACCGACCGATCGACCGACCGACCACCCTCTACGCCACCTACCCTTCCCTGCTTCTCTCACCCCTATCCTTTCCGCGCTTTCCTCTATCTGCCGCCCTTCCGCTTTTCCCTCTTCCCCGTTCCTCTCCTTCCGTTCCGTTCCTATCCACGTTGATGGTGCACAGAGCACTTCCGCCCACCCACCATTCCTTTCTCTGACATTTTCCTTTAACTTCCGTTCGTTCCTCTCCTTCGATCGTGCCTTTGCTTTTCTTTTCCAACCTTTCCACTATCTAGACAATTAATAGATGTTCTATTTTTAGAGAAAATACACATTAGTGTTTTTTTCTACGCTACTCATTAATTTCATCGTATTTCATTCAGATTTTCGTGCGATCCTTGTATTTTTTTGCCTAGAATTTATTTCCTTTGAACCCCCTATCGATTGCGAAAGACCTTCGGAGAATAAATTTATGTATAGGTATATCTAAAGAAGCTCTAGAAAAATCGGTGAATACGTTCGACTAAAATTCATCTTTGATTCCATAGTTGAAATCGTCGAAAAAAGTTCCTTGGTATGCCGTTGATTGTTCGAAAATCAACTTAAACGCAACAATTGAGAATACACCTTCTTCTCTTTTTGTATAAAAGCCTATGGTCTTTCGAGTTGGTATTTCGTGTAACGGGAGGAATTGGTATGCTCCTTCGTGTCACGAGATTACGTATTCTCGATGAGAAACCGAGCGGTTCGTGTACTTACCCCGGATGTACGTGTGCCAGCAACTTGGAGAAGTGTGCTTTACGCACCTGTCGCGGGTTTCGATGTATCTTTTACACTGCGGTGCCAACGAACTCTACCGATCCATTCGAAATACATTCCAAACATCCTCGACATTTTTATTATCAACTAATACCATTTACCATTACTTTAGCTTATCTATTGATCTTGACTTTGTACAAATAACGAACAACTCTACTCTCTCTCTCTCTCTCTCTCTCTCTCTCTCTCTCTCGCAACTTGAATACACGTAAAAACTATTCGGCTCTGAGATCTGTGAGCGCACACCACTGCGTAACTGTAAAGCGGTTCGTAGCGCTGAGATGAAGATTATCGACGGAAGCGAGCAAAGAAGACTACTGCACGTGTGTAATGTAAAACGTAATAACCTTTCACACGACCTCGGGATTTGGATTTTCTCAAGGTTCAGTCGGGTGTCCCGTCCTGCGTTCCGTCGTATCAGGGAACGCAACGCACTATGCAGCTATGGCTTCGCACTTACTTATATGCGTAAGATTTTCTTCATCTCTCTCCTACATTTTTGTCTAATATATTTCTGTGCTTTATTTCACGAAGCGATGATATGCGGACATTTTTCAACGAGATCGATAACGATCGAGAGGGGCGGGGCGGGGGTGGGGGGTTGCATAGAAAAAGGGGAAGAGAAATGAAAGAGAAGAAAGATCGAGCAGGAGTTATATGACACCCCCTCCCTTCGGCCGAAGCGAGAGTTTTACTATCATCCGTACATATGGGGATGGTAGTGCGGCAGATTCTAAACCACTCGGGACGTACCATCTGTGCACGTTCTGTCGCACACCCTACCGTTATTTCATCAAAAGCGACAAGGTTTTAAAGGTAAAAGTGAATCTCGGAGATGTATCGGTCTTATTCCTTAACCCGATCGAACTTGGATCTCGATCGCAATGCGGAGAAAATGAAAATATCGAGGTACGTAGCTTCGCTACGGAGTGCGCAAAGTGATCTCACTCGAGACAATTGGTGCTGGCCCCATCAAGCTTCATCAGGGTGATTAGCGAACGACATACCCCGTGGGTCGCTCCTTTAGATTAGCCAGTGCCCTCGACTCGCGGATCTTCCCCACCCTTTATCTCTTTCCTACGTCCTACGTCCTACGTCACCGCGTCGCCTTCTTTGTTCCTCTTCTTCTCTTCGCGATCATTCCGAGCGTTCGAGTCCACAAATGAACGTGACACATCGGTCAATGACACGCGTGTGCACATGCGGGTAAAGTAGCCCGGCCACGCTCGAGAGGCTTCTTCCTCCTCTGATGTCTCCTCTCCTCCTTCTTATCGTCATTATTATTATAACCATTGCTACTATAGTATAATCGACAGTATCATGCACGATGCGTTAGCCTTAGTCCCTTAGTCTCTTCAAATTTTAATCATTCGACGAACGTTCTTTTGCAGATTTTCCATCTCCACGTATACCTGTGTATACCATCTATACCGATGACGAATCCAATACTGGACACGCAAGCATGCACGTATAGATATAGTTTGAAAGTAGAGGAACCCTCGCCTCGTACTCACCCCTTGAGCTAGTTTCTCTACAACTCCCCTTCTTACGTCGGCCCGAAATCTGGCCGCACCTCGAGAATACTCTTCCGAGTATTACTCATTCCTAGAGCAGCTGGGTTACGTCCCCGGAGTTGCCGCCGCTGCTGCTGCTGCTGGTTCTTCCCTTCTTCATTTTCAAGGCTGAATCAATCTCGGTTTATCCTGGAGACGGGTTGAGATTTGATCGGTACTCCCAAGTAGTAAGTGCTCATCAGTAGTTCCTCCTGATTTGTCCAAGATGGTTGCAACATCCACGCATATGCTCTTATCATACAATAATTCACAATATATAAAAACGTAGTGTGTGATTCGTATGCTTTGCTTTTTATCCTTACGCTTTCCTAATCGATAGCGCGTGCAATGCGTATCTAGCTGCTCTTGTGAAAATGGGAATATAGCGAAGGGAGCGAAGGCCGCTGATTTAGTAGAGGGCTGAATTTGTTTGTCGAACCGGGCTTCTCTGCTAATGCCCTAGTTAGTACTTTGGTTTCTTTTGTGCCACCCTCCAGCTACCACGTCCCCCAAATCCGTGGATTTGAACCCTCGCAGGAACGGGAAATGCACCCTTCCGCTATTCTACTACGGATATTCTACGTTGTAGAATGCAATTTTCATTTTGCACGCAGTTCAAACGCATCGCCGACCTTATACGTTTTTACTCGTCTCTCTTTCTCTGATAAATCTATTTTATATCTATCTATTATAAAATGACGATAGGCCAAAGTATTCGAGTATAAGAAAGCTTAGGAATCTCTTTAGTTTCTTCCTGCTAACATAAGTGAATTGTTTAGTTTTTTGATCTGTCGAATTGGAATACGTAGACCTTGTATCATACTCGTCAACGAATATAAGGGAAGCCCTTCTCGCCGATGTTTCGTATTTTGAAAGCAAGCCACTCTAAATGATGAGATTTTCGATGGCATCCGTCGCGCGGAGGAAGGGTCGCGTTTGTTGAAAGAAACCGGAGCGCATTAAAGTATTGCTGGAGCGCTTTCGCTTTTGGCTTTGCTTTTGCTTTTGCTTTTGCCTTTATAGCCGCCTGGAACAATGACGAATCCCCGACGTCATTGTGGTTGCCCCTGGAAAGGGAAAAATATAAAAGAAAGCGCGGCGAATGTGGGAAAAAAGAAAATGGAAAACAAAAAGTAAAAGAGAGCAAGGTGTGCGCATCAGGCAACAGTCACTCGCTCCTGATTACACGGACCATTGTGCAATAACAACAAAATCGATATACGAGAGGATGAGTGTAAAAAAATGCCTATGACTGGGGTAAGACCTAAGGGTAAGACAGGCTACAACGGTATAGCGCAAGTGACATTTTTCCAATTAATGAAACATAAAGCAAGATATGACTTTTCCATAACGACCATCACCGAACCAATCTTTAACGATCCCTCGGATATTCTTCAATAAGCATACATCTTTTCTATCATTTCTCCAACCGACTTGCTAAATTGTTATTGATGCAACAATAAAAATAGGAATACAAGTAAAACCTTCTTATTTAATCGATTTAAGATCGTACTTTAGAACATTATTTGTTTGTGTTTATGTCCCTTTCTTATATCATTTCATGTTAAGAGATTATTTAGATACTATGCATGTGCAAACGTTCGTTTGTATGCATAACTATATGGATATTTCTAAATTTTCCACTAAAATTGTCATTTTGTCTTCCTCTCAGAGGAATGCTGCTAATTACCTTTGTCTTTTCGTACACGTTTAACTGGAATGAAATGCTCATGAAGCTACATTAATGATTCTTACCAATACTGTATACTAAAAGGAAAGAGGAGATTCTAGTTTTTACGTATACCACGTAAGCCACTGCGCTACAACGAATGCACGTGCATCGGATTAGAGACTCGTCGTTGATTCTTCGCTAACCTGTCGCGCGGAGAAACCGGAAACGAGTTGAATTCTTACGTGGAAACGCCTCGATCCCGCAGGCCAAGCAGGTAGGACTGGTAAAACGGGTGGGGCTTCCGCTTTGAGATCGTCGATCAGGATTGATACATCGATCATTCCTCATACGTATAAAAGAACCGTACAAGTAGTTGAACAGTCCTTATCACGATTAATCTCATTAATCGCCGTAAAGAGCTTTGTATTTTTTCCAAACATGACGCTCCTACGACTGATATGGATCATAAATATAACACTACGTAGGAAATAATTAATATACAATAGATAAATCCTGTAAATATAATAATAGTAAATCCTGAGCAATGGTAACAGCGTTGACCTGGTACATACATGTATATTATATATTGTACCGTTTTATTTCATTTCATTAACGACAATATAAATGCGTTCTTTCAGCAAAGATTTCGCTACTTTTGTAGCCTTTTGCTCATGATACATAGATACGACGCGAGATCACTGAAGAACTTTAACATAAACCACAGCACAGGAGGATGAGGCAATGTTACCAAGTATCGACGTTTCGGTGTAACGATATCTTCTTTGAAGGTTTTACGTGTCTACGACCTTCTAAGGGTGCGGTTGCGATCGCGATTCGAACGTTATATAGCATTCGAAGGATGATAAATGTCTTCGACAAAAGAAATCGAATACAAGTGTATATCACTAAAAAAAGACCATGAAACTCATTTAGGTAGACAAAAATAGATTATACTTGTGTTGAATGTGTTGAATTTTGATTGAGAATTGATATTTATAAGCGAACGCGAGTCCTAACAACTATTTCCCACGATTCATGATACGCGTCAAAATATTCATCATCGAGTAGGGATAACGGTGCTGAGATACTTTTCGTTCGAACAGCGACTTTAAATCCCGAAGCAAGGTAGTATCGGTATTTCTTGCGGTTCTTTGTCCCGCAGGCCGTATACCAACCTCACCTCACCTGTGCCAGGCCAGTTCGTCCAAGTAACTCGATCACGCGTGGCATACCGTGTGTGTGTGTGGTGGGGTATTCCTCCCTCCTCCAACTATGGTAACATCCTTCGAAGCGTTTCCATCTTCGCACTCGCTTCATCTATTCTCGCAGTGCAAAGTTATCGCTTTGCTTCCATTTTTGTTTGTATTCCTGTTAAGTTGTATTCGACCGAGTTGAGATTATTACTCGTTTAAATAACAAATAACAAATGATAGAGAAAAGGGGTGTTGATGCTCCAACGTATGTATCTTGATTCGATTATAGAGAAGAAAAGGCGATAAAAGGAAATAGCGTAGAAGGTGAGGTGAGGTGAGGCGAGGCGAGGCGAGGCGAGGCGAGGCGAGGCGAGGCGAGACGAGGCAAGGAAGGAGAAATGGCTGCACAGCAGGTCGGTCATAGACTGCTTTTTCTAAAGAGTATGAGAAGCTGGAATAACCGACCCGATGAACCGAGGTTCCGGAGGACAGAACGGTACACGATGCCTTCCTCCTCTTTCTCCTCCAACCTTCACCGAGAGGCCACCGAAGATGAGGGCCAGCAGGACCTCGGAGTTCCCACTCTTGAAATTCCTAAGTACGCTTCTGATGGACACGCGCTTGTATACGTATACGGTACTCGCGTCGTTTGTTACTTTGCCAAGGCACGCGTATACTTTTAGAAAAATACTTAGCGTCGTTGCACTCTTCTTTGCCTTGTCCCGATCGCAACCCATTATAATACCCCATATAATTCTATTTCCTACTATTAAACATTATTTTCTTCCAAACACACATTTATCATCGTTTGCGCATCCTTTAGGCGACTATTACGCATCTATTACGCGTCGTTTACGCCTCGTTTACGTATTGAATATTTCAAACGAACGCGCTTGTTTCGAGTCATCCTGGAGGCAGCGCTCTACGTTGTAAGTTAAATCTCTAATTGAAATCATTTCAACTTGCTTCGCAATCTAGACGCGTTGAGAAAGTTTTGACTCTCGAGCACAGCAACCCAGACGAAAAGTACTTGCTTGCAATAAGCAAAAAGTGTCTATCTTTTGCAACGATTGTTTATTCCACATTTCCAATTCTTATGGTATTCTTGCCAAGAGAGCACTTTAATAGACGATTAAAGGTTAACGACAATTCCGAGAACACTCGACAAGTTTCATCTCGATGTTCTAAAATGACCCCAATGCTGCCTTAATTTAGACAATTTGTCGCGTGGTCCTATCTCGACGATTGCTATTATATACGCTTCTTCATCCACCTTCACAGACGTATCCTCACATTTTATCCTACTTTTGATCCTTATCTCTTGCAAAGCTATTACGATATCCGTGCTTTTGCTAATTCTATCGGTAAAAGGAAAAGTCCTTTTCTCTGAAACGATTCATCGAAGAAATCTCTTCGATTTTCAATTTGAAAATTCGTCAACGACGTGAAAAGATGTAACGCGTAACGCGCGAGTGTTCTCCTCCTCTATTTCCGTTGACGCTTACGTAGCTCGCAATCAGCCATAAAGACCCTCGAGTTCCTCCAAGACGAAGCAATTCCCCGAGATGAAGCAGGAGAGAAACGATGAAACGAATGGAAGAGGGCACTCCGTTATCGTTCACCTCTCATAACGGTTTCTTCGACGGAGGGCGCGATCCCACATCGCTTCGTGTCGTCGCTCAGTAAGAATGGTCCGCCGTTTATATCTAACGTAAATATCTACGTGTATGTTCGTATATGACCGTTTATTGTATACGTATTCAACATATTTATTACATTAGCAAATAATCTACGCCCTGGCGCAACCCAAACGGGACAAAAAGTATCTACAGTTTATCTCTACGATATCAAATATTTCAAATATTAAGAGAGAGAATAGAATTACAAAGTGTAAAGGAATACGAATGTATCATTTCGTAGTTCGTAATAACACCTTTGTTTCCGGTAATGGAACAAAACGCCAACTCCTTAAATGCTTTTATACCCTCGATGTAACGGCTCCTCGTGACTTCTTTGGCTTCCGGTACAAGCGAGGGTCACCGAAGACCCGGAAGTTCGTTCGACTCAGCGCATTAACTTTCCTCGGAGCCCCTCAGTATTATATACCTTTCAAGCCATTGGATACTTTGCGAATTGTAGCACGCGGAAGAATAAGTGGAAAGGCAATCTATGACACTACAATCATTTCATCTTTTATTTTTCCTTACAATCGACATTCTAAGATCAGCAAGAGAACAACGTTGCTCTATAATAATTACTCGAATATTTAATATGCAATATATTCTAGTCTCTAACATATATATCTATACTTCGATGTACATAGTTAATCGATGCAAAATACCGCGGCGACATACGTTACGATTCGGTTCGCGAAATAAGCGAGGAAATATTTATTATCTCTCTCTTTCTAATAATTAAATGAATCTAATTCATATCTTATACTCTCTTTGTTCATTTTAATTGAATAATATTTACATTGATGTATTAATGAAATCTCTGAGAATATAAAAAGTATCTTAAAATTCCGATAAAGTTTCGTGACTCTAAAATCTACGTACGTATATTAAGCTTAGAATTCAAACTACCTGTAGTATGTGTTACACTTCACCTACGTACATTTATATAACGAGACCAATCCAAGAGATATACACGCGAAACCTATTCTCGCGAATGTAACATTCAGCTAGGCGAATATGAAGCGCCACATGTTGGAAAGATGTGGGAAGATTCTACGACAGTATTACATTACCACATTTACCCTAACAATTGGCCCTAACGCGCTCGACGCCGAGTCAATTAAGAGGACTCTTTCTCTCTCCTTCTCTCTCATTCTCTCTTTACCAGTAGGAATCAATGGACGTAGAAAGAAAATAAAAAGATATAAGTACTTTCATTAAGCTACTATGACAGATTTGTAATAAGGTATAACACGTTCTCAATGTGCTTATCAAATTTCAATATTATACATTTTTTCGTATATATGCTGAAACAATGCTGTACGATCCAACTTGAAAGTGTTGTGGAAAAATATATTAAGAAATTATCAAATTATATAAAAAGTACATACGTATTTATATAAATATAACAGATTACTACTTACTTTACACACACACACACAAATTCTACTACTATTACTAAATATATTGATTCTCGCAAAACTTATATGATTAATTAATCAAAAGGCAAATGCGTGTGCAACGTCAAATCGACCTCCATGTATGTATTTCTTTATCAACTATGCGGTGTCATTCATATTATAATATAAAAATCTCCAAACTTGTCACAAGAGTGAGAAAAAGAGAAAGAGAGAGAAAGAAAGAGAGAGAGAGAGATTTAAGAAACTTTTGAAATAACATTTATTTTTCTTCTTGCCACTCTATTAGTATTACCTAAATTTTTGTTAATACCTATAAAAATAAGTGTATACATATATCATTAATATATAAATAATAATAAAATGTTTCTTTAATATTTATTACCATATATTTTGACGGACAACTACGATTTAAATAATCCGATGATGTCTTTTCAATCGACTTTTTTATTGTTTTCAGAGTTTGTTGAGGATTTCGTCACCTGCAACGCAACGACATTCGATTATATAGAAAACAGTTTTATACACGTAGCACGCATGATCGGGATTAAACAAACTTATCGTATATTTTTCACGAAAAGTTCATTCATTTATGATATACCTCTTTCTTATCGGTTGTAAATTCCCATATTTTTTCGCTTAAAGAACCAGCCATGCTGGAAATACTCTGACCCATATTAGCGCTCAATTCAATGAATTCCGAAAAAGTATTAGGTATTTTAAACGTCGACATATCTGGCAGTTTAATATCTGGCAATGCTTGCTCGCCATCTCCTGGCTTCACTGAAATATGTAAGTAATATAATCTTCAAATCTAAGACACCGACGAACAATTCATAATAGGGAAAAACCTCTCTTATGTATGCAAAATATCTTTTATAAATAACTCTAAACAAGTAGAAACAACATGCTATTTAGAGAAGATATATTTAACGTTCTATTAAATATAATGATAAGAAAAATGTTTTATTGACAGGTAGAATAAATAATGATATTAACTTAATGATCAAAAAATCTTTCTACTCACCACCGTAAATAAAGTTATAACTAACATTAGCATAATGTTTGGCATATTCAAAACTTTCCTGAGCTTTCTTAGGATAACAAATGGCTCCAACGGTAAGAGCACCCGTACTGGAATAGACAAATTTCTTGATAATACCTCCTCTAAGTCCAAATATTAAACCTGTCAGTCCACCGATTCCGATAGCACCAAATCGTGGCATAGTATTATCTTCTTCTTGAAGATATTCTACTAAAACTAAAACAAGATCGAACAAGCAGAAGAAATATTACATTTACAATTTGGCATTTGAAGATATTGTTTATGCGTATGATTAGCAAATCACTATAATATTAACTATCAATTAACTAACATTTATCATTTGATTTTATTTTATTTTAGGAATAGTAAAAAAGGAGTATTTTGAATAAACTAATATATTTCCTTACATTGACTATGCTCCAGTCCAGTATTGATCTTAGATGAAATGGTATCCGATATGGTATGCCATTGCAACATAATGCCCTGCAGAGATCTTCTAATCGTTCCAAATTGTTGCTCCAAGGCAGATGGATAAACATTTGAACTGCAAGTAATATCTCTAACAATCTAAGTTTCTACTGTGACATATGTGTATAAATGATTAAAATGTGATATATAAACGTATCTAAAAACGCATAAAAGTACTACTCTTCCAAAACTAGGAAACGTATTACCGATGGTTTACCATGGAATATCTTTGGAGTAAACATCTTCTAATGGATAAATAGGAAGTTCGGATGGACGAATCATATTTTCTTTCTTATGATTGCAAGATTCTGGATAATCTTGAAGAGATTGAGATCTAATTACTGGCACTGCAGCGCAAAGTCCACATGGCATTAAAAACTTTTTCACCAACTGTATAAACATAAATGGATAATATTTAAATTATGTGAGACAGGACAAAATAAAGCGAAAGCATCGAATGGAATAAGAACTATATATACTATTTGTTCTCTCATTAAATAATAATAAGAAATAAGTCAATACAGAGGTAATACAATGATATATTAATCCTTATTATATTATAGTTAATAAACAACGATTAAAATTACAGAAAATTCAATGAAAAGATTAATATTAGAAAAATGTAAGAATATTTGTAAAGAAAATTAAAAGAAACTAAAGTTATTACCATTTATCTAATACATTTACCTTTAATCTGTTCATTATAAATGAGTGTTTTTTTGTGCATACGTACAATCACTCCTATTTAGTAGACTATGATGAGATAATCAAAGCAACTCGTAATGAATATTATTACACGGATTATTAAATATATAGAAAGATAATATGGGTCTTTAACTGAATTTGAGATGACGTAAACTCTGACGCTTTACCCACCAAATTACAACGCGGATACACTATGGATACGTAATCCCATTCATTTGGTAAAGAAGGTGAATAATATACCGATCGAGAAATCTTTCAAAAACTGACTTACCGACAGATTTAAATTTCTTGAGTATGGAACAAATAAATACTAAATATTTTCCTATAAGAATATATAGTTCCATATATATATATATAAAGATATATATATTAAAAACCGTATACTATACGCTTACTTTTATACTAACTCTTCCAAATTCGGTGATAATACCGGGTTGATAAATATCGCAACGATGAAGCGGTTCCCGACACGTTATATCCTTTCCAAAAATATTTCCTATTGTATAATCTAAAAATTTATGTACAAAATCATTCATTCCCCATTGAATGATATGAAAACACTTGATATTATCTCAATTTGAATAGCCACAAAATCCGAGTTGATATTTATGTATTTGAACTTGAGCATACACAAAATAATACTTCTAGAAAGGAAAACGTTGCTACGGTAACATCCTTTACAACTGTATACGGTGTGTGTTACTTCGCAGCTAATGCACCTCATCGTCTTCTAATCATTTTTTCCAAATGAATTTTTTTTTATTTTGTAAAGTATAATGAGTCAGTAGTCAAAGAGTGGATACATATATATAATATGTTGTTGATTGTACGTGGTTCGTTCCTATTCAAACTGAGCATGAAACCTCCAAAAGTATGCATTATCAAAGAGCGATTTTCTTCCCGTAATATCAAATATCAGACGGCTTTGAACAGATTTAACACATGGTTCAAGGTCGTGTAAACTCTACTCGATTATCTAATAATGATCATGTTAACGTGTAATCTATGAGTAGTTTACTCGTGAACGCATGTGTTCCACGTGTTAAGGGATTTAACATTATTTTTTTATAGATCATTGCAAGGTAATTACACACAAGATTGTATAGAAATAAATAAATATTTTTTCATCATTTTTCATATATTCTTATGTAAAGTATATGCATAATTTTTAATGTCAATGAAGACACGTAAAGTAGAAATATTAAATATTTAATTGCATCATTTCATATATGTATAACAGTGGAATTTTATTCATAAATAATTGTTATTTATAAATAAGTTATTAAAATATGTAAAACAAGAGATAATAATTTTAATTGTCAAATATATTATAAAAGAATATAATAATCGTTAAATAATAATATCTATAGAGAAAGAAGTTTGAGGGAAAGTAGATAAAATGTGTGGAATTTGGGCATTATTTGGTCTAGACACGAAGCCTATAACTTGTATTTGTGAAAATTTTGAAAAAATATCTCATCGTGGTCCAGAAGCATTTCGGCTTGAATTTGATAATAGAGTTAAGGTATATATGACGATTCTTTTCAAATAATACAATCAAAAATAATATTTTATTGGATTTATATTTAAAGCATTAAAAAAATTATCTCGTAGAATGGATATCTTGCGTTTCATAGATTAGCGATTGTTGATTGTCTTAATGGGATGCAGCCGATGAGGCTTAACCAATACCCATATTTATTTTTACTTTGCAATGGCGAGATCTACAACTGTAATAAGGTAAACCTACAAACAATGTAAATTATATTACATGCTATTATATTATGTTATAAACTTCATCTTTTTTCAACCTTACAGCTAGGAGAGCAATACAATTTTCAATATACAACCAAGTGCGACGTAGAAGTAATTTTGCACTTATATGCTCAAGGTGGATCGGATAATGTTGCACGATCTCTAGATGGTGTATTTGCATTTTGCTTACTGGATATCGAAAAGAAAAAAATCATTCTAGGAAGAGATCCATATGGAGTTAGACCCTTATTCAAATTATATTCAAATGCTGGACATTTGGGGATATCTTCTGAAAGCAAAGTAACATTAAAGCTACCTTTTTTCAATATATGTATCTTAATAGATAGTATATTAATATATACTTTATAATACACAATATGTATACATATGCAGGGGCTCATTAATATATCCAAACGTATACAAGACGAGTACACGTTGCAACCATTTGTACCTGGTAATTACGAGGAATATGAACTTTTAAATGACGGCCGAACAAGACTTTTGCAAACCATCAACTACCATAAGCCCGGAGACAAACCTAATTTTCTAGCTTATACGCCATGGAATAGTATGTTAGACACTAAAACATTAAGTTAAATGGTTTCTCATATTTATCTAATGTTCATAATAATCCGATATAAAATACAATTTTGTAGTATTAAGTAATAGCGACGTACACGAGAACATCAGAAAGTTATTTTCTGCGGCTGTAGAAAAACGCTTGTTGGCAGATAGGCGAATAGGTTGTTTGTTATCTGGTGGATTAGATTCCAGCTTAGTTGCAGCTACGCTTGTACAGCATGCACAAAAACATAAGTTGCCATATAAAATACAAAGTTTTGCAATAGGCATGGGAGATAGTCCAGATATTATTGCAGCAAGACAGGTAACTACTACTGCTCATGCCTTTTTCCTGTTGCTATTCTATTATATATATTTTTTTACACGGTTTTATAAGTTTTTACTTACCAGGTCGCAGACTATATAGGAACCGAACATCATGAAATTATTTTCTCTCCCGAAGATGTAGCTGAGATTTTGGATAAAGTTATTTATCATTTAGAAACATTTGACATTACAACAATACGAGCTTCTATCGGGTAAAATATTTCATATATTTTTCATTGAAAATAGCTTGATTATTGAAAAAAAACTTAAAGAAAGGAGTAAAAGATAACTGCATCGAATTAAAAATAATACCGAATGAATGATTAATAATTATAAATATTATTTGTCTATTTTAGGATGTATATTATATCAAGATACATTTCCCAAAATACAGAAACAACAGTTATATTTAGTGGAGAAGGTGCAGATGAATTAGCACAAGGATATATTTATTTCAGGGATGCTCCTACAGCTATGGATGCGCACAACGAATCAATTAGATTATTAAAGGACATTTATCTTTATGATGGTTTAAGAGCTGATAGGACAACTAGTGCATTCAGTCTAGAACTTAGAGTTCCATTTCTTGATATACAGTTTACAAATTACTATTTATCACTTGATGCTGCCATTAGACAACCGCAAAGTAATTAAAGTTATCATTGTTTAAATTACTTTATGTATTCTGCTTCTCAGAATGAAGATTTTCTTATTTTTTAATTTCAATTCTTCTTAATACAGATGGAATAGAAAAATATTTATTAAGATCTGCATTTGATGGCACTGGCATACTACCGTCCAACATACTTTGGCGACATAAAGAAGCCTTCAGCGATGGCGTTACTTCCATTAAAAAATCTCTTTTTCAAATTGTTCAAGATATTGTGGAAGATAAGGTACAAGATGAAGATTTAGCAAAGGCACACGTTAAATATCCCCATTGTACACCAAAGACTAAAGAAGCCTTTTATTATAGGTGACCGATTCAATCTTTTTCAAATATTTACATGATAAATTGAAGTATTATCATCATCGAAAATCTAACCAAATGAATGTTTCTCGTTTTTAACAGAAATTTATTTGAATCATATTACGGTGGTCAAGCTGAAGTTTTCACTCCTTACTTTTGGATGCCACGTTGGGTAAAAGACATCGCGGATCCGTCTGCACGATTTATTAAACATTATTCTGCAGATATAGATAGTGATAACGGTCATCAGGAAGCTATCTCTGAGATTGAGAAATGAAGGTGGAATTATATAAAAAGATTTTCATATGATACATATGTAGAAAATGTGTAATCTCATTTTCTTATATTTAATAACATAATATAATTGTTAATTTGTGCGAAATAAATTTTGTAACATTCTTCCTTTTCTACTCCAACCTTATAAAAGAATTATGTGCTTTTATATATCATAATATCGGATATCAAAATATTTGCTAGCATATTTGATCATACTTCATAAACACGAAGTGTAATTTTTTAAAAATCGTACATTATTTTTGATGTTAAAAATTAGTTAAGAGGTACATCGAACTCGTTAATTATTATGTGCAGTGATAATTCTCGTTTAATTACATCTATAGTCCGAGATTAAAAAACATGTCTTTTTTTTAATTTATCAATAATACTAAAATAAAGAATGAAAAAAAAATGTTATTACCCCTGGTGGGACTCGAACCCACAATCCCCGGTTTAGGAGACCGATGCCTTATCCATTAGGCCACAGGGGCTTACAACTTCAAGATAATTATTAATACAAATTGTAGTAAAAATATAATTCTAATAAATATTGTGAAAACATTAATTTTTTAATTATCCATTTCGTTCGTAATAGCAGTAAACAATATATTATATTTTAACATAATTTTAAATATACGAAGTAAAATATTTTATGACAAAATGTTTTTCATGATAATGTTAAAAGTTAGAGTGTTAAATGTGAAAATAATGAGCTGTCTCATAATATATATTTTCTATTAAAAAATAAAAAAATTTGAGCGCCGACGTCAGAATTTCCAATAAAGAAATCCGATAGGACTTGACTGTCAAAGTCTCCCACGTGTTTGCTGTTGTTTTGTTTACATCGTAACATTGACATCTAGTGATCTAGCGTGAAACTCCTTAGTAGAGGGTTACTGCCCTCTAGACTTCTTTGCAAGAAAGAAATAACCAATTTTCATACCTTTTCTGTAGCATAATAATGCAATTGACATTTATTTACAAAGAAAATGCAATACAAACATTTATATTCTCTAAGAATGTCGACAAAACATTGTAATTTCTGTTTTTCGAAATTTACGAAGTCATACAAAAATCACGTGAAAAATTTACACGATGCTGCTAAAGGTAAAAATAATAAAAAATATTCCGAAACTGTTATATTACCTAAAACTGACTTTCAATTACGACTAAGCGGAAAAAAGCGGGTGGATATGGATAAATATTTGCAAGAAGTAAATATTGTTTTTATTTCATTTGTATAACTAACATTTCAAAGTTAAGTTAAGAAAAGTTAAGTCTTTCAATAAGAAAAACCTTAACTTTTATAGAAATGTGGATTTTTAAATTTGTATAATTGGCAAAGAGAACATTTGGTAGGACCGGATTTTGTCTTGCACGATGGACCACCTTATGCCAATGGGGATCTTCACATGGGCCATGCAATTAATAAGGTTTAATATTGCAATTAATTCATTTAATAGTTGTATTTCCCTGCCACGTTTCTATGAATCCTCTTATAAGTGGAACATTTTATAAATTAAAAAAATCTTATTATATATTCATAGATTTTAAAAGACATTACTCTGCGATATAAGATAATGAAAGGTCAGCGAGTACATTACGTACCAGGTTGGGATTGTCATGGTTTACCAATTGAACTTAAAGCAATTAAGAACATTAATACTGGAAACGAAACGTCGAATCCTTTAGAAATTCGACATAAAGGTAAATTGTATCGCCTTGTGTTAACAATATAATGTAGGATACAAAGAAAATTGACAAGTTATTTTTATTTCTCTGTTGCATTATATAGAATAATATATTTTTAGCACGTATATTTGCTGAAGATGCTATTATAAAACAAAGAGAAGTATTTTCTTCCTGGGGTATAATGGCCGATTGGAAAGAAACTGGATGCTATTTTACAAATCGATCTTCATATATCCAAAATCAGTTACAGCAATTTATAAATTTGTATGAGAAAAAGCTCATTTTTCGAGATTTTAAACCAGTGTATTGGTCTCCTTCCTCTAGGTACAATCAAATTAAAGTTACTCGAATGGAAGTCTAAGTTTACTTACTAATTAAAATTTATATTACAAAAAATCTTCATTCTTAATAGAACAGCCTTAGCAGAAGCTGAATTGGTGTATAATGAACAACACGAAAGCAAATGTGCCATTATTCGTTTACAAGTGTGCGACGTACCATTGAAGTTGAAAAGATTTACTAATAATACGATATATGCGCTCGCATGGACAACTACACCTTGGACTCTAGTGGCTAATCAAGCATTAGCATTTTCTGCTAATTCTGAATATTGTTTGACAGAAGATGCTCATGGCAATTTTTACATTATTGCCGAAGCATTGGTGAAAGATATTGAATTAAAAATTGGTCATTTAAAGACGATAGCAACCATTAATGGTAAATTATTTATACACATTACAAATAAACTGCAAAAATTCCAAAAGGAATAAGGTATATGTATTTTATTGTAGGAAGTGAATTGAGCGATGCCAAGTATTTACATCCGATCACTAAAGAAAGTCTACCATTTTTACCAGGAGAACATGTTACAATGAATCTTGGTACTGGATTAGTACATACAGCTCCTGCGCACGGTCCCGAAGATTTTCTTCTCGGGCTTCGATATAACATACCAGTTGTAAGAATAGCATGTATTTGAAAAACAGATGTTTCAAAAGGCAATTAAAAAGACTCATTCTTAACTTTGATCACAGTTATCCATAGTAGATCACAATGGTCGATATACGGAAGCGGCTGGTCTTGAATTTGCAGGTTTGAAAGTTTTAGACGAAGGTACTGAAAAGGTTTTACAACGCGTGAACCAAGACATTTTACACATTGACCTTATTAAGCACAGTTATCCATATGATTGGCGAACAAAGGAGCCAGTTATAATTCGAGCAAGTCATCAATGGTTTGTCGATATTAATTCCATTAAAACAAAAGCTCTCGTAAGTTATTAATTTGGTAAAAACAATTCTAGCATTACAAATATTTTACTTATAAATTTTCATTCTTATTAGAAAATTTTAGATACCATACAACTGTTTCCAGAAAAAAATCGGTCGTCCTTTCTAAATAGCTTGCATGCGCAGATTATGAAACGACCGTTTTGGTGTATTTCACGACAACGATCTTGGGGAACACCTATACCTGCTTTGTATTTCAAAAATACTGGACAAGTATTTACGAATAGGTAATTCTACGCGTGTGTATTATTACTTTTATATATATTATCTGTAATCTTCTTATTACCTCATTACTTTATCTTTCGCTTATAGAGAATGGATAAATAGACTATGTGATCTTATAGAAAAAAATGGCATAGATTGTTGGTGGAAATTTTCAACGGAAGAATTAGTGGGAGAAAAAATTCTTAACAAATTTAAACTCGATAAAAACAATTTAAGGAAGGGTGAAGTACGAAAGAAAAATATTATTTCAAAAGATATAATATTATTAAATGCTCATCTATTGAATATATATTCTTCTTTATCGTACATTATATATCGTTAATTATAATGTTCCTTTTTACAGGATATTATGGATATTTGGTTTGATAGTGGCATTTCGTGGTCTGCAATTTTGCCAGAAAGAAAGGCAGATTTATATTTGGAAGGACAAGATCAACTTACTGGCTGGTTTCAGTCCTCTTTGTTAACTTCCGTTGCACTTCAGGACTCTTCTCCGTACAAGTATGTAGTCAAAATGAGATAATAACTATAGCTAATTGTAATAATATTTATGCGCATATACATATATTTAAGTTGTACAAATTAGAATAAAAAATCCCTCTCTATTCTTGTATATGTTATAAGGAAAGTGAGAGCTTCAGAGATTGTGAGCTTGTCCTAGGCATTGGCCACAATGGCAAGTAATTTTTGGCAACATAGGAAACAGAAGAATTGTTACGGACTTTTCCAAGGCATTGTCATAATACTTTGGTATCCTATAGAATATCAAATTACTATGTAAGCAATGTTGAGAAGAATACATTATCGGACAACAGGACACATAACACCCTCCCCCCCCCCCATACAAAAGCTGCTCGCTTAGAACGGGTTTTTGAGACTGTACGTGCCGCTATACTATGTGTACCTCTATAAACTGAAACTTAATGCCGGTTGTGCCGCTATGATAAGGAACAAAAGATGCAAATAACAATTCTTCTGTTTCCTACGTTGCCAAAAACCGCTTGGTATTGTGGACAATGCCTAGACAAGCTCACAATCCCTGAAGGTCTTTCCCTATAACATATATAATGTTTCGTTTAAAGTGCATTGTTCGTACATGGATTCGTGGTAGATGAGAATGCTTCTAAAATGTCCAAGTCACAAGGTAATATTATACATCCGAATGATATTACAAAAGGTAGTAAAAGTGATAAGAGTGACTCAGAAAAAAATGCATACGGAGTTGATATATTAAGGTAAAGAAACAATAGTCCGGTTAAGTTAGCCCAAAAAATAGGGGTAAGGTTACTAAAATTCGCATAGAGCTGAAAATTTGTACGAATGTTCGGAACACCATTATAAATGAAATGTGAAAAGTCCCCATCGATTCGACATTTGCAAAAAAATTTATTCAAGGTCAAAGTTTACAAATATGAATTTTTTATGTTTTTCAACCAAACGGTAAGTTTTATCATAAAAATAAGTCAGACTAAAATTTTAAATCATGCAATTATCTATAATATAATAGCAATTGTCTCCACACTTTTTCTCCTAAGAGTCACCGTTTCTGAGATATAACGATTCAAAAAGTTGAAAAAAGTCATATTTGCGAAATTTGACCTTGAATAAATTTTTTTTGTAAATGTCGAATCGATGGGGACTTTTCACATTTCATTTATAATGGTGTTCCGAACATTCGTACAAATTTTCAGCTCTATGCGAATTTTGGTAACCTTGCATGTCTAACTTGATTGGGCTACAATATGTTTATAAATTTCAAATTTCATTCAATATAATATATAATTTTATTATACTTTTGTTAGATGGTGGGTTGGCAGTCATGGTTGTCAACACACTCAAATACGTGCAACGCAAGAAATATTGCAAGAAAGTAAAGAATCTATACAAAAACTTAGATTAATATTACGTTTTTTGTTGGGTGTTCTAAATTCTAATATAGAATCCAAATTAGTAATAGATCCAAAGTTTCTGCATCTTGATCGGTACATGCTACATAGCTTATATCATTATAATAAACAAGTAAGTATCTAAAAACAAAGATGGAAGAAAAATACTATATATACTTTTTGTTTAAAATAATATTCGTCTTTGGTTGATTTCTTTTAGATACAGAACCTCTATGACAATTATCAATATCATAACGTATGTAAACTGATTAAAAATTGGACGACAAACGACGTATCGTCGATCTATTGTCATTTAAATAAAGATAAGCTTTATTGCGATCCGATAACATCACCATATCGTGCTGCTACTATCAAAGTTATAGATGCAATACTAACTGTTGTATTGAGAAGTATTGCACCAATTGTACCTCATTTGGCAGAAGAAGCTTGGTTACATCGCACTAAAAATGCCAATACTGGTAAATAAAAATCTATAATTAACTTTTTATGGACCGCTGTTCAAAGATATTACGTTGTAGAATAAATCTTTGCTTTATATTAGAATACATACCACTTCATTGTACCAGTTATACTGTATCAGAAATTTGGAATCAATCGCAAAGCATCAAGTGTATAGAAGCTGCATTATGTTTAAGAAGTAAAGTTAGTAAACTTGCTACTCGAAATACGTGGGAATTAGCGACTACAATAATGAGTACTAAAGAAGATTATAAATTATTATCGGTAAGTACTGTAAGTACTATCAATTAGTTTACTATATGTAATGGATTTATTAGTAGTTCCGATACTTGTGCTTTTCTAGATTCTTCAAAAAGAAAAGGAATCTTCTTTGTCCGAACTATGTGATATTTTACAAGTTTCAAAAATAACTCTCATAGAAAACGATGCGCTTACCGAAACGCAGGTGCATTTAAATCCTATAGATAGACAACTATGTAAACGTTGTCGAAGACATCCTGAAAATTACGGAGCAGAAATATGTGAACGTTGTATTAATATACTCGATACAAAAAATATATCAGCAACGGCATTTACTTGAATAATCTTATTCTCTTATAAAGTACAATAGTTTAATAACAATAAATATATTTAAAGGTATCTTTACAGAGATTAAGTAAATAAATTACTAGGTGGAACAATCGCTATTTATGATAGCGTTATTTTCTACAAAACATGTTTATGTACATAGATACGTAAATAAAATATTATAAGAAAAAAAAGTATGAAATAAGTATATAAGTGCGATTATTTGATATCTTTGTAAACGATATCCAAAGATCAGAATAATTGTATTTATTTAATTGAAATGATTTGTTGACATTCTAAAACTAGGATGATTTCTCTGTTAAATCGTACATGTAATTTATATTTAAAATATTAAGAAAATGTATTAAATGGGGCTGATATCCACTGGTAGTTAATTTATGAGCTATACGAGATAGATACGTACGTAATTCACAGAAAACCTCATACATTTGTTCTAATTTGTTAAAATTAGGATGGGTGTAACCTTCTGAATTAAAAATCCAGTTTTCAGATCTTAATCGATTATGAAATTTTAATATAACTTTACAAATATTACCCAAACATGTTCGCATTTTTTCTCCACGAGTATTAAGAATACACCTACAAAGGATTTAATAAAGATTCGTATTACTTCATATCTCATATATATATGTTACGGACCATTTGGGAAATCCGGAATTATGAACACTGCGTAGACATTATTCACATCGGCAAGCATTTTTCGGCAATGGAGGAGTTGTATTCATATTTCTCACATCTCTTAGATAGGGGAGAGGGGGGTTCGGTTGCCCGATAATGTATTCTTCTCAACATTGCTTACATAGTAATCTGATATTCTAAAGGATACCAAAGTATTATGTACAGTGCCTAGGAAAAGTCCGTAACAATTCTTGTTTCCTACATTGCCCAAAAACGTCTGCCATTGTGAATAATGCCTACACAGTGTTCATAATTTCGGATTTCCCAAATGGTCCGTAATATATATATATGACATGTTCATTAAAGAAGTTCATAGATTTACCTTGATAAGATTCTTTTGATATAATTTACATGTGAAAATCTAACTTGATCCAGAGTCAAAGAATTACACAAATCTTTCTCAAATTCGATCCAACTTGCATGTAATACACTACAAGTTATATAATTATGAAGCGCACTGACAAATTGTGTCATCGAATGCCTGTACAGTTGAAGCTATCAAATAAGAAATTCAGAAATTAAAAAGAGATAGAAAAGAAATGTTTCGATTTTATGTTCATTTTGTAAGAAAAAGTGAGAGGATAATATGAAAAAGTAAGAAATACCTTGTGATATTGTTCCGACATGGATGCTTCGTGCTCAACTTTCATCATACGAAAATCTTCTTGCAATACCCAAAGTACTCTACCAATCATCAATAAAAATTTAAACACCTTGCTATACTGTAACATCACTGCGTCATCTAAGATAATATTTAAAGGCCATGAAATTTTGTAACTAAGGCACAAGCAATCCAAGGCATGAGGATCAGAAATCTGCGATAATAAAAATTACATTTAATATATGTCCTCCCAAATTATAGAATATTGAAACCTACATGTAATTGCATCGGCATATCAATGGCCGAAAGACTAAGTAATTCCGAATTCATGTAATTGCTGCTGAAAGAGCTAATAAGTGCTCGCTCCAATACATTTGTTAAAGTGGCCGAATTGAAGAGTTCTATTGGTACGGATATTTCGTATAGACGAGCGTATAAAGAATTAGTTAGGCATTTGGCAAATTCTCCATTTAATAAAAAGAAATAACTTCTCAAGCTTTGCAAATGTAAAAGCATATTATGCTCATTTAATAAATATTTAATAACAGCATCGTTAACAATATGACTTTGTATTTGCAATGGTATAATAATTGATTTTTCCAGATAAACCTGTAGAGATGTATTATCTATTAATTCAACATCAGCTATAGTTAATGATGTAAAATCGGAAGAATTAACATTATCGTTTGAAACCAAAGGCGTGGAAATGTTAACATTGTAATATCCTGGAAATACGGAAGGGACGTCACCATTTAATTTCGAGTTTGACGACGAAGACGAACTATTGATATCTAAAGGGGAAACGTCTTCAAAAGTTGGTAAATTTGACATCATACTATTTACAGATGATACTAAATTATCCGTTATGGAAGAAATTTGTGCAATTTCGTTCATATTATTGATTTGACCAAAAAATCCAACATCTTCATGATTATTCATTTTACCGACTATTTCGCTACTATTTCGTCTAATACTCTCCATTGCATTGATGCATTTTGTTTGATCGTTAACTGTATTATTTGTAACATCACTTGACGCATAATTTCTATTATTATCTTGAGAAAGGCTGTCGGCTCTAATAATAAAATCATCTTGAATTGTTCTTCTTTCCATAAAAAATAAATTCGATTGATTGTTATTTGGCGTTACGCCAAATTCATGTTTTAACATTTTCATTTTATTACGCTGCGCTTCTGTCATGTTATCAAATTTGTTTATTTCAAGAATTTTAGGTCTGTTTAAAATTTTTGTATCGTTATGTATTTCTTCATTCGTAAGATCATCATTCTCCAATCGTAATTCTTTGGCTACTTCGCTTCGTAAAAATTCTTGCAAACTACTTCTCTCATTATTCCGTTTATAAATATTGTTCATATTCGTTGGATTTTCTAACCGAATATCTAAATTCCTACTCTGTGTATCCGAGATAACCGTAAACGATTTATTTGTGTTCTTATTATCAGAAATATTTGCTAACATACTTGTTTCATCGTCAGACCGAATAATAATATTGATATTATCAGCGCAAATAACTCCATGGGACTTTAATGCTTGTATCTCCACAATTTCTACTTCTTCAAAATTACTATTTTCATCTTCTTGCGCTATATTGTCGGATAATGTATTTGACTCGATATTATTTAAAACGTGTTGAAGATTATATATATTTCTCTCAGGTATTATATCTCCCTCGGTTTGATTGTCTTCTAGACTCTGCAATACTTGTCTATCTGATACATGAGTACATTTCCATATATCTTCCTCCATTAACGCAGCTACCCTTTTATCAAAATATTTCATTCTTTTATTACACCACTGCATGCGCGCCTGTTGCTTCTGAATAGTAGCGTCAAGATCGGTGTAATACTTTTGTAGATAACCACTAGAAGAGATAAATGAAACCCCTATTAGTTATATGAAAGTTCTAAGTATAAAATAAGAAATAATATTTCTTCTACCGTTCGGAGCTATTCCTGTTGTATAATTCTTCTTCTCTTTGATTATTTTGTTCCATAAGTAATCTATCAGTTAACATTTCAGCTTCCTTTTCTTTTGCTTTATATAAATTAGCTTCAATAGCTTGCTCCTTTAATACTTTCAAAAGTTCTCTTTTGTTTTCTATCGTTGTCTTCAAAAATTCTTCTTGTTCTCCTATCAAAATAATGGTTAGTTAATGAATTTTTCTTCCTAACGTTTATAGAATATTTTGCATATACAGAGTACTAACTCTTTATTCTCAGTAATGTATCCTGTTGCGCATTAATGACCAATTTGGCTTTTTCTCTTTCAACATTTTTTTGATCCTGAATCGCCACTGAAAGCGATATAGGTCGACCTAGAGCTTCTTCTCCTCTACGTTTATAGTCTTTACATTTGATCAACTGTTCGCGTAACATCGTAACGCTCAAGCATACTTTTAATTCTGGTTGGAAAGAATTAAAAACGTTGCACACGGGATTCTTAGGATCACATATTTTCAAAAGTCTTACTGCTTTGCCACATTGTAATATAGATTCTGTTAACCGATTTAGAAAGCTTGGAACCGATTCGTGATGTACGGTAAAACTTTTGGTCCAAAATTTAGGGCCTTTGGTACGTAGAAACTGTGAATGTTCTTTAATCATAAATTCACCATAAATGTCATGGCATATACCTTCAAATAGCCATTTCTGTAAAAATCTATGCAAAATTATAGAAAATTAATGTAGAAAAAGAATAAAAAATGAAATAAATAAGTATATATATATATATATACCGGAAATAAACTTCACAGCAGGATTTTAAAATGGTATACAAAACAAAGGCGATTTGGGGAAGGGTGACTTTTGTAATCATTTTGTTAACTACAGCAAAAATATTGCTATTTTCACCCATTTTTCCATTTTCCTTACTGCATTGACAGAGCTTAGTTACTTCTGTCAATAAGAGACCAACCGGTTGGACTTTACTCAAAACATTCAGTAATCCTGTAGGTTCGTTAATATGTTCAAAAATACGCAAAAGAGCAGCTTTGTAATGAAGAAGTATTTCTTTGATACTCGTACACATTGCCTGAAAATATTTAAAAATACATCAAACAAACAAAATGCGATACTTCTGTGCAATATATAAAAATAAACAATTTAGTATATCGTTAGAAGCTACTTTACCTTGAATATAAGACCTTCTTGCAGCAGCTTTCCGTCATGTGAATTTGGTGTAGTCAAGTTTGTTAAGTATTTGAAACAATTAGCCCAGAATATAAATCTTTGACAAATATCGGTCAATGTTTCATTGTCAATACCATAAATAACAATATTTTGGCACATGTAAAACCCAATCTAAATCATGAAATATAATATAATAATACAAGTTGATTATATAACTATGCCAATAATTGATATTCTACCTTGTTATTATATTTAAAAGATTTTGTTTCTGTACCCAATAGCAATAATTTAATATTCATTACAAACTCTTTAGTTGAGATTTCTTCTGGAAAATCTATATTATTGATAACCTGATGAATAAAAAATCTATATTAGATTTATTCATATCACGTCGTGCTATGATATCGAATAGCATATGTTAGATGTATGTTACCCTTTTTGGAAGTAACAACAAAGTACAAATTTGCTTTATTCTTGTCAAATGGGACATGGCATTTGGAGTATCCGTTAAAAAATGATATTGCTTTGGAAACTCTAATTCTCCCAAAGTTTCCCATGTATGATAATTGTGGATGAAAGTATTTTTTATATCTATGTTATCCCATATCTCGTCGTAGAAGTCTTTAACATTTACAATTTCGTTATGAAGGCTTTCGTTGGACGATCTCCATGTATCAGTAAGGTTTTCACTATATCTGTTCACAAATTTCATATTCGACCAAGGCATATCCCTTTCTACTTTGGCTTCTTTTTCACACTTACCCATATAGTTTGTATTGTAATTCATGTCTGTCTAATTATAAAAGAAAATATGTTTATTAAATGCAATGTTGTATTATCATATCACTAAACGAACGCTTACCATTGTCTGTGGTAAGAAATATGAAATAGTATCTCTAGAGCAGGAATCGGTTATACACTTTGGTATGGGAAACCAACCAATGTCAATTCTAAAATTCCGTTAAATAATTATTATGTAAATATATTATTATGTGCATTTTATATGTATTTTACTTTACCTAGTAGACTCTACTTTATTCGAATATTTTAATATATTCTGATTATATAAACATGATCTATTAATGGAATTAGCAGTTGTTTGTTGGATGATATAACATTTTTGAATATCTAACATGGCATCCAATTTATTCGATAGTATAAATGTTTCTATAGGATATATTGGAAATTGTGATACATTCTCTAACGTCCGAAGTGGTTCCAATAGAGCAGGATTACTACTCGAGTAGTAAAAGATGTTCTGCAATACAAAGACATATAAATATATATTGTTATCCGTGATACTATTGTAAGTGATGGAAAATACATTGACTAAATGATAATAATGAACTTACTAAATCAGGCTCTTGATCATTATGATAATTTTGTAATTTGGTAAGCAGTTGCAAAACCGAATACACCATGCTTTCTCTTTGTAAATCGTTAACGCTAAAATCATCCACAAGGCTTTCTAATAATACACCTTCCGATACGCGTCTCATGTTAAGTTTTAATACAAATGCATACTTGTATATCTCTATTACAGGATCTTTCTTCGTCTCCTCTTCTGTAAATATTAAAAGCGTAATGTAAAATAATATTGTATAATTACAAAAATATGAAATAAATAATGTTATTGTAAATGTATCATACCATCGGCATGTTTCGTTATTTTGCTCTTATTTAATAGGATTTCAAAAGCTTTACTTCTTAATTTTTTAATTTTAACGATATCATTGACACTCTGCAGATATGGATGTTCTAATGACAGACACTGTTTTTGAAATATTTGTTTACTTAGTTCGGTTATAAGATGGTAAACGTCTGAATTTTCTTTTATCAAATTCATGATTCACTCAACACTTTAATTATAATAAAAAAAAAAATAAATATCTCTATAAAACGTGACCTTTTATTCCACATTCATTATACAATGCAATTATTTGTTATGTTTTGACAACCTAACCCATGGAGCCTATATACAAGGAGGACGATCGCTGTGTTATAAATGTGGCTACAATATTCACAATGAAAGGACGATTTCTATTGCCACTAGAGAGCGCATTGATTCGCTGGATCTGACTTGTTTTCTTTACTGTTAATGCAATCCAACACAACACAATGTTTCACCATCTTAAACAAAAAATTCAATTACAATTCACATTTGTAAAAAAATTAAGGCTTTGTGATTAAAACAATGAAGCTTCGTAAGTAAAATACGAATTAATTTGTTTATTTATAAAATCACACGTACTTAAATCAAACTTAAGAACATCACCGCCGCCCTTGTGGATAATTATCGTACTCTACATTCACTCATTTTCAACAACAAAAATTCGACGCAAACGCCTATCTCGATCGTCCTTCTTGTATATAGCTTCGTTAGCTAACTGCACGCTACGAGCATATTAAGGCTGTTTCTTAAGAAACGAAAAGATATTCTGCCCTCTGGACAAATCATGTTATTTTGTCCAAACCGAATACGGCAGAGTTCGCATAGTTCTTGGTCGTTTAAAAGGTTCCGAAAGGTAAGGTTAAAAAGTCGCGTGTGTTAGTATAATCTTGGACGCTATATCTCTTTGGCATTATGTACGAGGACTATAACGAGGTAAAAAGAAATTTTCAACAACTATTATTATGTATTTTGTTTTTGTTTTCGGTCATTTTAATTTATATGACTTTTAGTACGAACCTTATGACGAATATGGACCGCCGGATGTACACGCTGAGCCATATGACAGATTAAGCTATCGTCAAGTACCCGAAGTGGTACGAAAGTTTCTCGTCTATTTGCGAAATTGCATTAACGAAGGAATGATTTTTGAAATTCAAAATTTATACGAATCATCGTTCCCAAAGATTTCGGAACAATTGTTTGATAAATCGTCTTGGCCGGATGCATCGAGCATTGCTCACATCGTCGACAATGATCTAGTATTTCTAATTCTTTATAAGGAACTTTATTATCGCCATATCTATGCTAGGATGCAAGGACCAACGTTGGAGCAACGTTTTGCATCTTTCTATAATTACTGCGATTTATTCAATTACATAGTACACCCGGATACACCCGTTCAATTGGAACTGCCCGATCAATGGTTGTGGGAGCTTATCGATGAATTTGTTTACCAATTTCAATCGTTCACGCAATACCGTGCAAATTTATCCAACAAAACGCCTGATGAAATAGAGAATTTAAATGCCCACAGTAAAATATGGGATGTCCTCTGCGTTTTAAACGTTCTTCATTATTTAGTAGACAAGTCTAATATAAAAAGACAATTAGAAGTATATGCGAGCGGAGGGGATCCCGACTCTGTTGCAGGAATCTTTGGCAGACACTCGTTGTATAAGATGTTGGGGTATTTCTCCCTCGTTGGTCTTTTAAGATTACATTCTTTACTGGGCGATTACTATCAGGCAATTAAAGTTTTAGAGAATGTTGAGCTATATAAAAAAAGTGCTTACTCTCATGTACCAGGTTGTCAAATATCCACTGCTTATTACGTTGGATTCGCGTATATGATGATGCGTAGATACGCGGATGCGATTAGAACCTTCTCTGGTATCCTACTTTATATTCAACGCACCAAACAATTGTTTGCAACTCGAAGTTACCAGAATGATCAAATTAATAAGCAAACGGAACAAATGTATCATCTCTTGGCAATTTGTCTTGTTCTTCATCCGCAGTGTATAGATGAAGGTTTGCAGCAAGCATTAAGAGATAAAAGTTATCATGAAAAGATGTATAAAATGCAATACGGAGATCTTACAGAATTTGAGTCATGTTTCTTATTCGCGTGTCCTAGATTTTTATCTTTGACACCACCTAATCCTGATAACTTACATGAAGACTATGTTAGAGAAGCCATTAGACATCAAACTCAAGTGTTCATGGATGAAGTCGTGCAACAAAAAATGTTACCTACAATACGTTCTTATTTGAAATTATATACGACTTTACCTTTAAGCAAATTAGCTACTTTTATGGGTAGTGCCACTAGACAAGACGAAAGCTGGGATTTGGACAAAGAAGTTAACATATTGACCATACATTTGTTATCTTTCAAACATAAGATGAAAAATATTGTGTGGACAAAAGGTGCATCAGGATTAGATGGCAAATTTCAATCCGGCTCTGAGGTATATCTATTTTTATTAATCTTGTTATAAGACATGCTAATTATTACTGAAATAATAATTTACAAATTCAATAATTATACAAATAATATTTTTACAGTTGGATTTCTATATAGATCACGACATGATTCACATTGCAGATACAAAAGTAGCACATAGATATGGAGATTTTTTCATCCGTAAAATTTTAAAATTTGAGGAATTGAATCGCAAATTACATCACATCAAAATTTAATTCAAACAATTTATTGTATGGATAAGTAAAAAGAATAATAAAATTTCATAATAAAGAAAATATATTTACTTCTGTTATTAATTCTTATAAGGCACTATTGCTATTGTTTACTTATTTCTATAACAATTATTCATACATTCTACCTAACGATAAATATATGCTGTAATATTATAAATATTTTTCATTAATATTTATCAATATTACATTTCGCAGTGAATCTCACGGAAAAACCAAGTATTTGCAATAAAAAAGAAATTGTTGGGAAAAAATACATAGGAAGAATTTCATCTTCTAATCTTTTTTGCTTATACCTGTACCCATGATCCATATATCTTATTATTTATCACTAAACAATCCCCTCCTAAAATAATTAAAGAGGAGCTAATAAAATCGCCTAGGGCGATTAACGAATGAGGACAGAAAAAACAAAATGATTAATATGTTTAACACATAAGAATAATATCATTTTTATGATTCATTTGAATAAAAGTTTGGGATAAAAAAGCGACAATAATTTGATGAATCATTTTGAAAAAATCATTAGTACCTACCTGAAAAACACAACGCTACGTTCTTTGCATTGATCGATTTTATATTTATATATTTATATATTTATATTTAATAAAATGAGAAGAGGAGTGTCTTTGTAAGAAAAATTCAAAGATTATTAACCCTTTTGCTACGGCAGTGTGCTCCGTCGGAGTGACTCCGCTGTACGGACCACCGTGCCGCCGGAGTAGCGACACTGTACGGAGCGGGTCTCAGGTCAGGCAGATGACGCCGTCTATAGGCGACGCTCGTAGCGAAAGGGTTAAGCATTTAAAAAAAATATAAGCGATAAGACAAAAACGTGCGTTTTAAAATGAATATTATTTTTTTATGCCAGCAAAATGATATCTTTCAAATAATTATAGTCGAGCGTAATATAACTTAAACTGATTTCTAATACAATCAAGAAGTGCATTATGTTTGATCTAAACATTAATGAATGTTAAAAAACTCACAAATGATGGGTGCATTGTTAACTAATTTTATATTATTCTTTTAAAGGGACAGGATATATATTTTATTTATATTAAGAGAATCACCTCAACGACTTTTTCAATTCAAAACCTATACAACATTTTTTCAAAGTATAAGAACGATTATTTAAAAATTTATATGAACTAATAGAGCTTCTTGTTAATACATTAACAGCCGGCCCCGCGAAAACACGGGTTTCTGTGCTATTCAGTGATCAGTGAATAAGGCCGGCGCTCAGGCCTTAAATGTCTTTCAGGTTACCGGCTGTCAATGTGTTAAGATAAAAAATAATGGATTTCTTTCCATTCCCCTTAAAAAAAATCCATTCATATAGGCATATTATATGTATTCTGATTGAGGAGATATCGTATCATGATTTCTCTTGTAGCATTTTACACGCGGCCGATAAAATATTAGGCTTTGTCGACGAAGCTGGCAATTTGAAGCCACTAAGATAGTGAAAAAATCTATTACCTCTCTTAATGTTTGCCGCAATTCGATATTCTTCTGTTCTACATATCGTTCTAACGCATGGTAAGTAATCTAAGGAAATACATCGATTGTCTAAAGTATGAGACGTAATTTGCGATAAAGCACTATCGACTCCTTCATTTAATTGCTTTTTTAGGCTTAATCTGCCTTGATATGGGATTCTATTTTTACCAATTAAGTGATTTTCTTTAATTATCTTTCGACTAATCCATTCTCCTATTTCTGAACTTATACTTTGTGAAACAGAGTATGGCGTTGTGTCTTCCATTAGAGATAAACTGGACTGCGGTTTGGTACATACTATATCGAGCGCAGGATCATTAATCTCAATTAAGGATGATAGCAACGATAAATAATCTAACTGACTGGCTAAATTATTTAATATATTTCTATTATTATTCTTTACGTAGCCTTTCGCTTTTTGTTTTTTCGTTTCTTTTATAGCCGGCTGGTATAGATAATACTTCATATCTTGCCAAACAAAGTTTCTCGAATTAAAAGGATATTTACTTACATGCGCGAAACCCGAGACTAGCAGATACTGCAATTGCAGTAAAGCTTTTCTTAAATCCCCATTCTGTAGAAGTTCCTACACAAATATAAATTGTCTTATTAATTATCTGCCTTTTTGTTTAGTATTCTACAATATGCACATTAGATAATACTTACTGCTAAACATTCGCACGAAATTTTAAAGCCTGTTTCTGCTAACGAAATTAATTTTAGTAAAGTTGATGCTCTATTACCAACTACTTTTTGGAAATAAATTCGATTTTGTTCGGGAGCCATTTTATTTAAATGAGGGCAAACATCTTTGCACGTCATTACAATAGGACGTTTCGTGTTGGACACCAATTGGGATATAGCAGAAATAAACCCTTCATCTTCTTCAAATATTAAGTCAATATCTTCTAAAAGAATTAAGGAATTTTGTGATGAATTATTTGCCTCTTTCAAAATTGGCTTAAATAACGATTTGCTTCCGTTCTTTTTAATTCGGTGTGATTTAGTTGCTTCGTCGAGTTCCTTAAAAATTTTTTTTCCCGTTCTTCTAGACGAAGCATTGACTTCCAATACGCTGCAAAAATATTATAAATCTTAGTGTTCGTGCGTGGGCGCACTGACTCTAATATGCTTTAACTAATTGATTAAAAAGAATCATTTTTTAATATTTCAAATGAACAAACCTATAACCAAGCTCTTCCGTAACGGCGTAAACAGCAGCAGTTTTACCACTTCCATGGGGCCCCAATAATACAGCTACTTGATTATTTTTCTGTTTGCCCGTAAAACTACAATCTGATGAATAAAATTCATCCCCGCTGCTACTAGCTTCTTTATGTACAGACAATTTCCAGCGACTTAGCCAATCTCTTAGCTTTATTGCAGCATTTTCGTTTCCAACTATTTGACAACTATTAGTCGGTTTATATTTTTGTGTCCAAATATTGTTTACAATCAGCTTTTTATCGCATTCTTTCGTTATATCTTTTTTTGTTCTCTTACTTTTTGATTTGTCTGATTGTACCACGTTAAATTTATTCTTTGCTATAGAATTAATAGTTTCCCATATATTTCTAGTATCTGAGCAATGCTTTTCTATTTCTGCCAATACTTCCTCTGTATTTTGTTCAATCGATGCATTTATAGTTATTTGAGATTTACTTAATGATTCAAGAGATTGAGAAATATATTTATAATTATCACCATTATATATCATTGGTATATATTTCATATTTGGTTTTATTCGAATTTTATGCGTATGTAATTCGTCGTTAGTTTGAATTTTATTATTCAATTGCTTGATATGACTAATTTTTGGAAAAGGAAAGTAAGTCAAATTGCAAGTAGGTACTTTTTTCTCCACATGTTTACTACTATTATTAATCGTATCCGATTTAAAAAATGAACGTTTTGCAGCCTCGGTTACAACGTTTGGCTTAGATTGTCTCGTAAAAAGAGGCGCTAGTTTTTTATGAGGTTCTCTTTTTAAAGTATTACTATCTATAATTTGCGAATTCTTGGAAATTTCCTTCGTATTTGTATTAATATAGTTCTCATTAAAATTTCTATATTCGTTTATGCATGTTAATTTTTTGATTTCTTTTTCGACAATAATATCGTCAGTAAAATCATTTTGCGTTGCATGGTTAAGAGAAGTAGTCAGCTTGTCAGAATTATTTTCTTGACCATTTATTTTTAAAGATAATCTTGCACACTCGTTGATATTATTACTTGATGTTTTAGATAGTTTTTTATCTTTCATCTTACATTTGATTTTACTTATCGGAGAATATAACATTTCTTCGTCGCTATCTGCATTTAAAAATAACAAGATATAATAACACAAGTTGACATGTTCACAGAAATGCATATCTAATGCAGACAAAATCAGAGATCAAAGTGTCAAAAATCATTGCCATCGACCAAATATTATTTGGGAGACTCTAATTAAATATTTCATCATTGATAATTAATACGAAGAAATGTAATTTTAATTAGGAGTAGTCGTATATAACCAGCGCTCTATATTATATTATAAAAATTATAAATTATATAAAATAAATACATCTTACCGGATGAAGATTCCTTACTTTTTGGAGATAGCATTTTAATTCTTAAAGACCATTTAGGTTTATCACGTTGCAACAATCGTGGATTTTCCTCTACGCATAAATTTTGTTTCATTTCTTCCAATTTTATTAAATCTATTTTATCTACATTTGAATATTCCGTTTGTATGTTCGAATATTCTGATTGAATATTTTTATTGCCCATTTTCTTGTATACAGAATCTGATTTAGTTTTTGCTACGTTAGTTAATGAATTTACCATAGGTTCTTCTGACATATGTACATCGGCTTCTACAACTATAGTAGACGTGTTAACTTCTATTTTATCTTTTTTTTCTAGTCCTATTGCCGATTTGCTTTATAAGTAATCAAAACGGGAAAGAAAAAAAAATTAAATAAATTATAAATACTTGTCTCTTATAAAAAATTAATAAAATTTAATATATATATATATATTACCTGAGAAAATTTAATAAATTATTTGTTGTAGGATAATTATCTTTCTTAGCATTTTCTTTAAATCGTTTCAAACGTTTTTCTGGAATTTCTTCTATTTTCTTATCATCTTCTGTATTGGTAAGTTTTCTCTTTGAATGACTTTTTATGTCTTTCATAAGTAATAATTTTGATTCGGAGGAAGTATCATTTTTCAACGAAGGGTGCACCAATGAAATATTGTCTATTGATTTATTTGGATTCATAAGAACTTGAAATGCATTAGATTGTTTATGTTCATTAATAGGCTCATAAACGATACCTGCTTGAATTGTTTCTTTATTAATTTGATTATTGCTTCTAGGTGCAGTATTACATTTGAATCCATTATAATTTTCTATACTACATTCCATTTGAGATTGCATTGAATTTTGTTTGTCTGTAGATAAAGAAAACTTACCATTTATCTCGCTTTCTAACGCTTCAGTATCGCTATCCGATTCTATTAATATATAATTAATATTAACTTTTGGAAGTATTTCTTCTTTCGTTTTTCCAATACTATCTTTATTTTCTTTCTCCTTAACCTCTCTTGTCGATCTTTCACTGCTTGCAGCTCTTTCTTTTTTTCCCAACGATTTAGAAAATGGACTTGGAGTTTTATCGATTAAATCATTTTTATTCTCAACGATATTGCATACCCTGCTACTCGAATTTCTACGAGATATCTTGATTTTGACACGAGTACGTTTTTTTCTACAAGAATATTCTGATCCATCCTTTAATTTATATATATTATTTAATTCAGACGTATTTGGGCATGGTTCACGGGATTTGACATTGTCTTGAAAATAATGAGTAAGATCCTTCATCGTCGAGAACATATTTACAAATTTACTATCCAAATAATTATAAATAATATTAATTAGAACTTAGGGCGCGCAACATCTACAACTTTTTGGCGGCAAAATGCGCTAACAATTTTAATTGCTATGTTTATTTCTATGTAGAGAGCGCTTGCATCTACATTTTCACCGAAGACAATTTACAATAACATTTTTTGTATTATCCAATGAATCGTAGAAATAGATTTAAAAAATAGATTGTAAACAACATTTTACCTTTGTTGATTAGTCGAGCAATGGAGCTATATACAAAAAGGACGATCGAGATGGGCGTTTACGTCGAATTTGTGTTGTTGAAAATGAGTGAATGTAGAGTACGATAATTATCCACAAGGGCGGCGGTGATGTTCTTAAGTTTGATTTAAGTACGTGTGATTTTATAAATAAACAAATGAAATTAATAGTTCTCTTTGATGTTTTTATTTTAATTACGAAGCTTCGTTGTTTTAATCACGAAGCCTTAATTTTTTTACAAATGTGAATTGTAATTGAATTTTTTGTTTAAGATGGTGAAATATTGTGTTGTGTTGGATTGTATTAACAGTAAAGAAAACTAGTCAGATCCAGCGAATCGACGCGCTCTCTAGTGGCAATAGAAATCGTCCTTTCATTGTGAATATTGTAGCCACATTTATAACACAGCGATCGTCCTCCTTGTATACAGGCTTCATGAGTCGAGCACAAAAAACATGGAAACTACACAAGGAGTACGAACTCAAACGTATTCATTGCCAAAATCTGTCCCCGCAAATCGTATATTTAAGTTTTCTTTTTTCACTACTAGTGTAGTCTCCATGCTTAATAAATACAAATTGAATTTAAAGTCCAAAATCTGTAAATCTTCTATATTGTATTATATTTATAATTATTCTTTATTTTTGTTATTATTACACTTGGTAGCAAATTGGATATTTTAATGATTAATTTAATTATATATTATAATACTTCTAGAACATGTGTATATATATTATTATTAATAATTTATATATTAAATATATATTAAATTATTTAACTGTTATATATATAAAATTATTAAAATGTACATCATTTTCGACTAGATAACTTTGTATGTACTTGGAATGTTAAAGTAGAGTTTTTATTAAATCAAGATTGTTGCGTCGAATGGGGTAGCCTCGATCTTTGAGCACCTACATAAATTACTTGTCTATGTTCATCTGGATGAATAAGATCATCGGTATGTTTCCAATGCCATTTCTTTTCGCATTCTTTTACACGCTTATTATCGATGTAACTTATAACACAACTCGTTGGTACCCATATAATTGCAGTGATTATTATCACAGCTCCTACTATGTTATCCTTCAAAAATCTCATTACCTTGTTAATATTTATGTCCTCGATAATATCCCAGAAACGTTCCACAACGTCTTGTACCGTTTTCTCGCATATTCCCTAAGTACGATGCAGATAATTAATAAAATAAAAAGTCTACAATTTTAAAAACATAATTTTAAGTATTACCTTATTACAAAAACCTTGAATACAAGGTGTACCATCGGGTAAAATATCTTGCGGATCAATAGGAAAGCATGTTTCATTTAAACTCATTCTACAGCATCTCTTACATGCATCACCAACTGTAATATTAATATGTTATTTACACATACTTCTTGTATGTAATGTAAATGATAAAAATTAATCTTAATAGAATATCAAAATTTACTTGTATCACACATGCAGCTTTGCAAACCCTGAGTCTCGCAATATGGCACACATTTGCCAAGACGACATTGACCACGTTCTAAACAACCGGTACCATCTTTCATTGGTGGAGATCTGGGACATTCGCTTGATGCTCCAGTACAACGCGATTCTTGTTCACAAGTTGCGTACTGTGCGTCTCTACATTTTACTCCTACAGGCATATATGCGCAACCTTGGCAGCAAGGTGAATTTTTATCACTGTAAGATATGGAAACATATGTATTAATGCATGAAAATAAAATTAAGAAGTTGTATTATGGTAATAATATTACCTGCATACTGCTCCTTGACTTCGTCGTAATTTACAATTTTTGTCACAACATGGATCATTATCTTCCGTTCCTAAAAGTCCTGCGTCGCATTCCTCGTCTCCTTCTACCCTCAAATTACCACAGAAGGATTCTTCAGGTTCTGAGAAACAACGACCTGATTTAGCTTGTAATACTTTCCTGATGGATCTCAAACTGCATGGTGAAAAACGCTGTACATTTAAAAGATTTTATTTAAACAGATAAATAAATTATACTTTATATATATATATTTTAGCTTTATTTAGTTATTAATACTTTGATTTAGTTTAATTAAATTTATTTGTTACATTTATCTGACCTTGTTATTAACGTCATAACCACTGACACTATAAGTGTACATTAGATATGATCCGCCTTGACTAGCACTTGGACTGCATTCCTATGCATCGAAGTTATATTCACACACATTGCAGTATTATATAAATCATATTCATGAAATTATTTAAATAAAAAAAAGAAAGAAATTACAGTTATATCAGGATCATGTTCGGAGCCCCAATTATGACCAAATTCATGAGCTGTTACTAAATCTGCTTCTCTAGTTATGACTCTTTGTCCATAATGATTTCTACTAGAACTCAGTCCCGAATTTAAATAAAGTGTATAACCATTTTTGAAATATTCTGAAAAATATATGAAACAAAATTTAAGAATAAAAATACTAAGCTTCGCGCTTTAATAATAAAATTATTATTTAAAATTTTTACCTGGTGTACAAATACCACCTACAGAATTTCTACGTGGTGATCCTACGTAAGCTAATCCCAAAATACCACCTTCGAATTTCAAATCAGTAAATAAATGGGCTAAACAAAAATCCTTATGACTGTATTCCCGACTGAAAACCTGCACATTCAATTTAATATTTATTTTTAATTATTTGTTTTTAAAAAAGTGATTTCTTGTAGTTGTACCTCAAGCAATGTTCGAACGTCCCATTTTTCTCTGACCATATTGTAATGTGTCTCTCCACCTCTTACACGTGTTGGTTCGCTATGAACAACTATTTTCTTTATAACAAAGCCCATTCCTTTAAATCCGTCTTGTTCTTGACGTTCTTGCCATAATGTGTCATTATAAATTTTATGTACCCTGTCTATCAAACTAATCTGTAAATTATATTAATTCAAAAAAATTATCTTTCTCAATATTATTCATATTTTAACCCTTTGCAATCAAAGTTATTCTCGGTCATCACTTGACCTGTTATTTTGTACATTGCCCGGCTTAGATCATTTAAAAATAGCTGGAAGAAATTCACCAAATATGCAGAAAATCGTCTCTAATTTCTGGTTTGCCTGAGTGAAAAAGGCCTCGAGTGCAAAGAGTTGAAATTAAATTATTTGTAATTGACGTACCAAATAGTTAATTGTAGTTTTGGTGCTACTAGCACCCATTTCTTGATAAAAACGATAGTCAGCTACCAATAACAAAGGGCATCTTGTTTTTGTTGGCGTATACTCGTACGTTTCCGTTTGTCTTTTAACTCTGTTGTATTCACTTCCTTCAAAATCACGATTTTCTATGAATTCTTTGTCGTCTTTCACTGGAACCTCTTCCAAATAAAATATTTATTTTATTTTCTTTTCAATTCTATATTTTTTTTTGGTAATGTCTTATGGTAATATACTTACCCATATCTTCTTTAACGTATCCACACGTCTTAGGATTACCATGAGTATGACCTACCCCATTTTGATAATGTTCCCAGCTTAGTTTAACATCCGAGGATTTGTAAATGATCATCGTTTCATTTCCCAAATGAGGAAGGTGTCTCCACGATGGCTAAAATTTGCGCTTACTTAGATAATCTAATAAATTTTAGAAAATGTATATATAAAATATTTATATCTTACTTCAATGTGAAATGTGTCATCAGAAATAGTAATGCTCGCCGTTACAATCCCTTCATCGATGTGTACTTGAGCATGAGAATTAATTTCTCCAAATACTCGTCCATGATAAAAACTTTCATGATCTAAATTTAAAAAAGATTGTAATTATTAATATGTTAAAAGCTGAGCTTTCCATTTAGACCACGATAATTCTTTAGTCATAGTCAATAATTCTATTAGTCAAGTGTTGACAACTACTGATTGACATGGCGTTAACACAAAGTATACTGTTGTTTATTAGTGATCAACGTGGCACTTAATATGTTAAATATATAATAATGAATATGTATTTTTATACATATAGTTTAGGTTACATACCTAAATGAATTGTTTTTTCTTTTCCATCACCGTTGACTTCGTAAGCTTTAAAATTGGAATGTATCACTTCTCTTCTTGGTGTTAAAATAAGGCGAAAATAACTATAACAATAAATAATGAAACATATTAAATAAAACAATATACTAAAGATAAATATAATTATTATTTTGTATACGTAAACTTTACCGTCCATGAGAATAAAATTCTAGTTCGCTTATTTTATTATATGGATGATAACTGTGTTGAGTGCCTCGTTTGACAATTCTATGTTGAAAGTTTGACGTATGTACAGTTTCATAATATTTTAAATTTCTATGAAGTGCATCTACAGAAAAATGATAATTAAATAGAAAAAAAATTTAACAATAAGAAAAATCTTAATAATTAATAATATCAATTATTTATAATTTGTTATTAAACAACATTTAACTTACAAATATCTTGGCAGAAGAAAATACAATAAACAATTAATAATTTATAAAAATATTTCATGTTTGTAGTGTAAAATTATTCATAGATTAGGTTAAGTACACAATCATATGCACATTCATATACTCATTTCTTATTTGTAGATAAAAACAACATTTTTATGTTAAAATTGTTTTAAAACTTTGATAGTGTTAGATAATGCATTTAATGACATTTTAATACAATGGTGTTAACGTTGATATTATACTCTTGTATATATTACATATCTTCCAAAAAATGTCTAATCATAATCCTTCTATTTTTATTGTTTTCTTATGCTTTGTAATTCACTGAACAGGTTAAGATCAGAAATATAACACACTTTCTATATACGGTGCGTTCCACTAAGCGCTCACAACGATCACGCTCACGACCACAGTTTTTCCCGTTCCACTTACCTACGAGCGTTACTGTCCTAAATTCAAGTGGAATGGACTATGGTGCGTTTTGAGCGTGGAGGTAATAATACAAATGGCGAGGTAGTGAAAAGAAAGTAAAAGATTAAAGAGGTTAAGATTTAATCTGTAATCCTTCATGTCAGTTTCACGATCGCCATTTTTATTGTTGTCAGTTTCAAAAAAACCGCTAATTTTCTCAACGCTCACTACGACCCACGTTTTCAGATGGGTCGTTGCGGGCTTCGCGTGAGCGTTAGTAATGACGTCATGAGAGACGTTTTCGCCGCGACCACAACGATCGCGGTTGTTATGTGGAACGACTAAAGGAGCATTTTGATCGTTGTGAGCGCTTAGTGGAACGCACCGATAGTTACTTAAAGATAAATTTATTTTAGAATTTAATTTCTTTTGAATGGAAAGAAATTTGAAAAATATTTCCTAAAACATTAATTTTTTTCATTGTAATTTTATTAAGATTTTACAAATGCAGGTTGCCCAAGATAAACTAAAAGTGAGCTTTGTGTGATTACAAAATTAATTATATTAATAGCATACGAAAAAGTTATTTAAAACTTTTAAGATTATTTTGTTTTCCTTTTGTGTGTTCTTAATTTACTTAAATTTTATTATTTTGTTGTCCTAAAATCTTATCATACGTTAATTGAATAATACATTATTGTATCTTAAAAATATATGGTATTTTAGATTTTAGCTATTCATGGATATCATCAGTCCGATGTCATATTTAAAAGTAAATTAGGCTCTTTGCGTAAGGGCTTTAAGAAACAATTGGATTTTACATTTGTAAGAGCACCTCATAAAATTCCAACTGAAAATGAACTTGTCAAAGATGCAGAAGAAAGTGGTACATTATTGTTTATTATAATTATTAAACTTAAATCACTAAGTCTAATAATTATTGTTTATTATAATTATTTTAATATTTAAAAAAGAATATTGCTTATGATAATTAATTATGTTTTTGTATATATTAGACTATGGTTGGTGGTTCAATACCGAAGATCGTGTATTCAAAGCAACCGTACCAAGTGATCATTGTATAGGCTTTGAGGATAGTTTAGACTTAATTTTAAAAACATGCCAAGAACAAGGTCCATTTGATGGGATTCTTGGTTTTTCACAAGGCGCAGCCTTTACTGCTATTTTATGCGTTATGCAGCAAAGAAAAAGTTAAATTTTTATCTTATGTTATCACAATTGTATTATATAAACTAGTTATTTATATCAGATTAACTGTTCGAGTCCCAAGGAACACTGTTCAGATTTTTTGTCAAAAAATAAAACGAATGTGCAATTGATACGTGGTCACACCATTTGGCATTTGCCAACAAAATTTTTGTAAAGACTCTTGGGACTTAAATGGTTAATATAAAGAATATGTGTTATGTATAATATAATTCGCAATTTGTTTTACTAAAACGTTATTACTTTTTCAGTGTTTCCATTTAAGTTTAATTTTGCCATTATCATATCGGGATTTAAATCATTATGCATGCCACATGCTGAGTACTATACAGAAATAATAGATATACCTTCGTTGCATATTTATGGTCAAAGCGACAAAGTCATTCCAACTGGTAAAATAATTATTTTCTTTTATACGTACACAATAATAATATTATTTTGTTATTAAGCAGCTTTATTACTTATTCTTTCCTTAATTTTTTCTAGATATGACTGAGAAAGTATGTGATTTATTTAAAGATTGTAACAAAGTTATACACGAAGGTGGACATTATGTACCTAGTCAAAAAAATATTTATAAAACTTTCATTATGGACATGATGGAAAGAAAATTGCACTAATAAATTTCTTATGATAAATTAATTATTCGATTAATGCGTCAAGATCGATACCATAATTTAATTATATATATGAAATTGTATTTATAAACAAGACTTACTTTTATGATACATAAAGTGTGCATTTTTACATCATAAGTTTTATAAGAAATAAAAAAAAAAACCTCGATATAGTAATATTAGCAAATATATTTAAAACTTACATAAAACATTAACTCTCTGTACAAAGTGAAAATAAACACAATTTCATAATATCATTAGCAAGATTTAGCAAGTTACAATTGCATTTATTTATTTATTACAACGGATGTTAAATAAAAATGTTCTTGTTAATAAAATTAAAATCAATTCGTGAAAAAACTCTTTTACATATAAAATGTACATATAAATGAATTGTTAAATAAGCTGTTGAATCAAATAATATGGAAGGCAAAAGAAACAGTACGTTTCTATTAGTTGTATAAATTTGACCAAGCCATATATGATTGTTGTGAAACGTTATGAAATTTACGAAATATGTTCTTATGATTTATAACATCGCTATATGTTATCTTAAAGTATTATAGTTACATGTATAGTAGCAATTATGTTATGCATAAATATATATATACATATATATATATTTATATATAACTTATAAAGTACACAGTATATTTTGTGAGAACAACCTTTTATGACTTATTTCATTTACTTTACAATTTTTTCGAATAATGCAAATTAGTAATTTTCGTAAACAATTTTAATTACAAAATAATGTAACTCATTTACAAATATTTTCTACTTTATTCCAAATGTTGTAACAATATTATCATGTTGAGAAATTAATATAATGCACTTTTAAATGTTCGAGTAAATCATGTCCAATAATATTATATTTAATGTTTAACTCGTTTATATGATTTCTCTCATAATAACAATCATATAACAATGTCGCGAGTAATAATTTTTGAATATAGCAGTAGCATGTAATTTGGATAAAGTGAAGAAAATAACAGTCTATGAATAATTTAAAAGCAAAATTATTCAATATTTGATATTAGTCAATTTTGCACATAATAAATTTTCAATATTAAATAAAACAATCATTTTCTTTTTTTTCCTTTCTTCCTCTTTTCTATATCACAAGATAAAGATTTATGGTGCGATTGAATGCGATGTAAAATACGTATATATTTTAATAGTTCGGTATTAAATAAAAACTAATTAAAAAAAGTATTATAAGGGTGTGATAACATTACAAAAAAAAAGAAAAGAAATATTATCATAACGTTATGTATAAACTATTAGTCATAAATTAAATATAAGCGAATGAGGTATTTTATTATATTTCTTTAACTGTAACAAAACTTTGAGACAATTTCATAGCTAATTAATATTAAATTTGGTTAACGTACAGGACCGTGAACGCGTATTTTTAGAAATATTTGTTAGCATGCTGAATTGAATTGTTCAAGTACAAAAAGAAGTACTTGCACGTTCACGAAGACCTGGAAGTATTGCAACTACCTGTTTTATTTTCTTTTTTCTTTTTTCGTTTTTTTGTTTCCTCTAGAAGAATTGAGAAATCCCTAAGACACTTTGCATTAATGTAAGAACTTGTACGTCTTTCTATTATTCACATCCTGGTTTCATAAAATCTTCAGCATTTAGTAGAAAGGTCTTTCTCATAAATATTAAACTGTATCAAACACAATACTTCTTTATCAATTGATTCACAATATAGTTTATGTAACTTCAAGGAGACTCTGAACCATTAGGCTCACAACCCTTCATAACATCGGGAAGATCAGGTGGTAGAGAAAATGGAGTCATTTCAAGTTGTTCAAATTGACCATTATCTTGACGCATAGCTAATCCTACCAATGCTGGACATTGCGCTTTAGCGGTTACAGATGTCAGTCCATAATCCGACAAGTATTTAGTATCAGACATAACAACGTTGTCTTTATTAAATAGTTGTTGATTCACTGGCGGTACTTTCAATATACCTAGAAAATAATAATTACATTTCTATTTCTTTTCTATTTATATTCAACATTAATATTCAATAATTTAAATGTGCACCTGTATGATGTGTCACACATACATATACACACACATATTATATATAGATATATATAATTTTTTAATGTTCAATATATATTTGTATGCACTTAAAACTGTATTACAAATATGTTTACCTTCGATAATTTTTTTAAGTTCGTGAACCGTTGTATTGTCCTTAGCATCCGTAAAAATAGTTGTATTTTTTCGCCTAATCATTAAAAATACGTCCTGCAAAGTGTTGAACAGTCACATTTGTAGGTTATATCATCGTCGAGTGAAACAACTAAATATGTATATGTAAATATTCATATCTAATGCTAGAACATCTTACCATTACGGATCTAATTGTGTAATTAAATGTATCGAGGATTAAATAATAATTTACACTGTTTATAAGGTTCAATGATACTATGTTTACTTGAAGACCTTCAGATTATAAATGAAAGGTTAAAATAAGACTGTACACATACATACACTAGCAGTCTTGCATACGTCATATATGAGACAGATTACACGATTGGTGATCCTATTTTAAAGGAAATTGGATTTGCCATCGTCGAATTTATTTTTCTCCAATCACAATATTGCTTTATAAATATCAGTAAATCTATATTATTTTCAACAACATTATAATCATTTTAAAATTAATTATATCAAATGAATAATTTTTTGTTATAAAAAATTATATCTTTTTATAAATATACGCATGTATTTTTCTTGCATTGACGGATATTTAAATGGTAAACTTTAATTAAATAATTTTTAACACATGATACTAATCAACCAATCATCGTCGACATAGTGCATGTTGCACTCTACTTGGAAATGACCATAACATTCCTGATATAATGGTTTCGTTGGTTTAAGATTTGAAATGGACTCTAGAACGTGCTAGAAATCGCTTGGCGTCGGAAGTGAATCTAAAAACTAATAGGAAGAAATTATAATTTATATAAAAGCTAGAAAGAAATTATAATTTATAAAAGCTAGAAGAAATTATAATTTAAATATTACGCTAATAAAATAAATAAGAAAAAAAAATATAGAAAAATATGTCCGAAGAAAAGGTTTTATTACATTGTTATAATCGTGGCTGTGGACAAATGTTTGATCCGAATGATAACAAAGAAGGTACGTATTTAAATGATATCAACCACACACATACACATACCACAAAAATGATTAATTTTTTATAAATTATTGTAGGAGAAAATGATTTGATGATTAAGGAAATTTTAACCTCTAATATTGTTATAGGTGATTGCGTTCATCATCCTGGTCAACCAGTTTTTCATGATGCTTATAAAGGATGGTCTTGTTGTAGTAAAAAGTGTACAGATTTTACAGAATTTTTAAATATCAAAGGTTGTACTAAATCATATCATACAAATGTAAAGCCTATAGTACAAGAAAAACCTGCCGTTGATAAATCTAAAGCTAATGAAGTTATTGAAGTACGTGCAAAGCTTAATAGTAATAATTCAATGTTGAAAAGACCACCGTTTGATTCTCCTCAAACTGTATTAAAACCATCCGTGTCACCTGTATTATTGGAAAAAATTAAAGGCTTGACAACATTAACAGAACTTAATGAAGATGAAAATCAAATTTCCATCGGTCAAAGTTGCCACAATAATTCTTGTAAAGCCAAATACGCAGGACCTTTGTCTGATAAAGAAATATGTCTTCATCATCCCGGAATTCCTATATTTCATGAAGGGATGAAATATTGGTCGTGCTGTCAAAAGAAAACTACAGACTTTTCTGTATTCTTAGAACAACCAGGATGCACGGAAGGAGAACATTATTGGACTTGGAAGGTAATTTTTAAAAATGAATATTATTTCTTGTAAAAGTTTATCAATTTTTAAAATTGTACTTTTACCTATTTTTAGAATAACGATAAAAAAATTCAATGTAGAATGGATTGGCATCAAACATCAACGTTTGTAGTTATTTCAATTTATGCCAAGAACTACGACCCTGATCGGTCGAGCGTGAGAATAAACCCTATACATTTAAGCATGGATTTATTCCTCGTAGAAGAAAATTCGACATATGCTCTAGACATAGAATTAAATGAAGTAAGTATCATTAATCGCAATAATTATTATAAATGAGATATTAATAATTGTACTATTTATTACATTTGTCATTTGCAGATGGTCAATGTTGCTGAATGTAGCCTCAATATGCTGCCTACTAAAGTAGAAGTTAAATTAAAGAAACATGAACCTATATTTTGGTCTCGTTTAGAATTTCTTAGGACACCGAATAGCCAAGACAAGAATGCACAAAATGAAGAACAAATTAGTTCACAAGTTGATGCAATCGATCTCAATGATCTTTAATTGAATGAATTTTTGTTTTATAATTTTAAGACTTAACAAAATTTGTTCGAATAATCCTATTTTATTACCAAACGTATCTTTAAAGATATACGTTACTGAAGAGGTATACATAAAAATGAAAAATATATTATAGAAATTTCTTAAACGAATAAAAACTTTAAAAATATTTTTGAGGGTTTGTTATTCTGCATCCAATAAAAGAAAAAACACATCTTCTCTTTAATTCTTCATTCCTTGAAATATACAAGATACAATAGCACGTAGGACTTTGATGAAAATAACGATATAAAAATAGAACAATTTCAAAAGTAAAAATTCGTAACAATATAAAAACCAACTTTCTTATCCATAACTAAAGTATATATAATATATATATAATCTAAACATAGCAAAGCAATGATTCAGAAATAACTTGCAGCTATGTATTTAAAGAACGTTCGATTTACTATACATATATCATAAATAATAGAAATGATTCGAATGAATCGTTCTTTTTATGACGTCAGTGGTATCCAACAATTTGTGAGAAAGCCGCGATCCATGAGAGAGCGCGTGCGCTTTTAAAAGCTTTCACACAACATACACACACACCCGCGCGCACACACATTTGCAAGCGGAGGATTCTCACAAAAGAACTTCTATATATATGGTGTGCATATACGTGTAGATATATATGTAAGTAGTTTACGGGGGTGTCGAAGTTATGTTCCAGCAGCTTCGCAGTAGGAATTCTGTGAAAGCTTAGCTACCCCTTTTAACGACGTTGCTGGAGTTCTATTGCAGCAAGACGCAATGCGAACGTGGCAAAACGTTTCTTCGAGGGAGTTGCGTCGTCGACGAACCTGGAAAAGTGTTACATAGCAAATCATTCATTAGCGAACAACACTCATCGACCATGTCGTGGTATTCGGTTAACGTATCGTGATAGTAACTAACATTGGCGAGGGACGATTTTTTCGTACAGGAGTTACGCTATCAAAACAAAAAAGAAGGAAAAAATAAATAAATAAAAAAGAATAAAAAAAAGAAAGAGAAAGAAATAATAGAAAGAAATTCCTTGTCATACAATTATTCTTGTATAATAAAGGAAATTGTTGAATTGTTTACCCGAACAAGGTTGACCGTATGTTCCCATATGATCAATCGTCGCGATCATCATCTCTCGTGAATTGAATCGGTTTTTACGTTTACTACTGTAACAAATTGAAATGTGTGGAAAGCTAGAAAGTGATTAAAGAAAATTTTTTCATCGTACCGTGCGTGGGTGCATCGTTCGTCTGCGTACGAGGAAATTTTATATGCCGTGGGCAACGTCGACGTATATGATGAAATTACAGTTGCTTGTAATCGAAACGGATTACTGCTGGAGGAAAGCATTACTCAGGTGAGAGAAGAACTTTCTAGATCGAAACAATCCAGAATTATTATTATAATATTGTTAGTACTTTCTTAATAATTTTACTTTATATTTAAGATTATACCGGTCATATTATCGCGATTCTTTATAAAGATGTGTATGGTATACTTGCTTTTTTTTGTAACATTTCAACTATGACATGCATATTTTAAAATTATTATCGTATTATCCAGTAAATTATTTTTAGCGATCTTTTTATTGGTTCAAATTACTTCGAAACAACTATCTATAATTTAATAATAATTATTGTAAGAGATCTGTCGTGTTATTTTCTAATTAGAATGTTCAATGTTTTTCTATGTCGTTCGAATATCCCGCCATAAAAAAGTTAAGAAGACGATTTTGACGACGGTCGGTATCAAAGTGAATTCTCGTTTATATTATTTTTAAATAAGAGAGCATTTATTTAAGTTAGAATCTATGTATATATTTAGTTTATTTTTTCTCTAATCTCTTATTTATTCATATGTCTGTTTTATTTTATCTTTCTCTTATTATTTATCTTCCCCTCCCTTTTGCTCTCTTTTCTTTCTCTCTCACTCATTGACTTATTCGTCGCTCACTCATTCTTGGTTGGAGGGGATTTAAAGTCTATTGTCATGCAAATTAGTAGTGGTATCGGTGAAAAGGACGTACTAGATTGGTGTAATATCTTTGAAAGTAGAGTTACGACCAATCGAATGTTCATTCTCTGTCGAACGTTGCGATCTAACCTAATCTCGTATTTGAGCTTGATCAGTCGACGCCATCTTTATATTTATATTTACAGTCAGTACGGTCGAAGTGCAGTGGAAGACAGTGCACGTCTAACGAGTCATGAGTGTGGATGATAGTGTGCGTGACGTGGTGGTGATTTTCGCGAGTAATAAAAACGTTCGATTGAACCGGTTGTTGTCGAAATGACAGAAGAAATATTGTTATGAGTTTGCGCCGTAGATCTAATTTATCAGAAGTCTCCTTCAAAGATCGCGATATCGACGGAAGACTCGTATATCGTCTCAGTGTCCATGTAAAATAATTCTTTTCAACACCTCCTCCCCTCCTTCGTGTATATAGTTGGTTAGTGTTGTTTGGTAATGTGCTTGTTCATATGTACATTTTTTTACCGTGACATCATCGTGTGTTCCTTACCGAGGCTATTATTCTCTTCTTTTTGTTGGTTATGTTTTTTCTCTCATCGTTCTATCGTATTTACGTATCGCACGCATCTTATATTAGCACGTACTATTGCAGAATAATGAGAACTATACAGTCCTAGTGCGCAGATATATACGTATAGATAAAATGCATAAGTTAAGGCTACCCGTCAAGGTAGAATTACCCAGTGCTTTAACAAGGTATGGCGAGGTCTTATTCTTACATTTAGTTATCTATATTGCTTTCTCTTTAGATTACTTTTATTTTAATTTTTATATTATTTAGTTCTATCTAGCTTTAATGTCCTCCTTAGTACTTTGGTTTATAGATTGACGAAGACTCACAGTTATAGCGCCACATGTATACGATTGGGAGTAAATGATACAAACACCTTATTAATTCTTATGCGTGCTTATTATATTGTCTAGTTTGTAAATTGTACGTTTAATTGTTTTTCTTAAATCTCGCTGATCTTTGAAAAATCCTATGATTTATTGCGTTGTATTATTTACTTTTGAATGTTTTGTATGTGTTAATAATACACTAATGCATTTTAAGATATACCAAGCGCAAATACATTAGAAAAACAATTTTGAACTTATCTAATATCGATATAGATATTTTAATATTTCAGGCCTGTATGTAGTAGCATGCTTCTTAGTAAATCTATAGACGACAGCATTATCTCCCTGTAACCCGCACTCTCCTTAGATTATATTTGAATCATAATTAGAAATCTTTTATACGACCATTTAATGCTAGGAAAAGACATATTAAGAATTCCAATTTATCAAATATACAATGCGCTATTATATATTTCCTTAAATACTCTTTTACTATAACACTTCAATACCATATGAAATGTAACGCATAAACCCATTTATCAAAAGTTATTATTTATAGTTGGAGAAATGGCATGTAAAATGTATTTGCAAATAGTATATAATAATTCTTCGATGATACTAGATATTTCCTTATGTTATTAGAGAGAGCGAGGGAGAGAGAGAGGCACGAAGAAACATCTGGCCATTGATTCTCATGGAAATCAGTTAACCTTGGCAGTCATCAAATCTAATGCTACATGTTTGAATGCGCACACCAGCTAGCTAGCTCTCTTTCTCTCTCTTTTTCTCGAGATACACGTTTACATCACAGTTATATCGTTCTCTATTCTAATCCTTCACTCTCTCTCTCTCTCTCTCTCTCTCTTTTTCTTGAAGAGTAGTTTCGCACCTACGCAACATCTACATTGGGTATGACAATAAATAAGTCGATTTTAGAATCTAATGTAAGTCAGTCATGCATGAGCAATATCGCGAAGAACATTCTCTTTCTATTTCCCATTCTTTCTTAAGTCTGTTACGTTTAGAGTCAATTATTATTGGTAACGGGAAAGGGAGAATAGGTCACGTAATTGCTTCTGTTCTCGCATTAGAGTTCTTAGTTTTCATAAAAAATTGATCCTTCGAATCGATCGCTTTTCTTTATCTTCATCTTCATTTTTATCATCTTTTTATTTCTGGAGCGTGTATTTACCAATAAGGTAATAGCAAGATCAACGCGTTTAACCACCTGTACGACCGTAGTAAGCGTTCTCCATCTCTCTCTTTCTCTTTCTCTTTTTCTGGTTAGTGCGCGCGCGCACTTCCGAGTGAGCCGAGAGTACACGTGCACTCGAAAGACCAACATAGAATAAACTACTACTATTAGAATGTGTTCATCGTCGTCGTCGTCGTCGTCGTCGTCGTCGTCGTCGTTCTAACAGATACACACATGTACGTGTACGTGTATTTATATTACATATTTGCATGTTTGTACATATATATATATATGTATATATATATAGACATTGTGCGTATGTATGTAATCGTTTACTAATTAATACGCAACGGCGCTCCCACCTTCGATATTACACCCTTTGAAATCTACCGCCCTTTCAAGAGAGAAAAAAAGTTTCAGAAAGACAGAGGTAGAAAGATCTTCAATCATTTGACGTAGGAAGAAATAGAAATAGAAAGAGAGAAAAAGAGAGGAAGAGAGAAAGGAGAGAGAGAGAGAGAGAGAGAGAGAGAGAGAGAGAGAGAGAGAGAGAGAGAGAGAGAGAGTTCCCTTTAATTCAGGAATAATTTCATCAATCCCTAATTTTTATTTCAATACTCAATCATCTTATTATTGATACGATTTGAAAAAATTTGTTGCGTATTTTCTTTATAAAAATACGTTCTCTTATTTTTTAATTTATTTTATATAATACGAAGGAGCGAACAAACGTGTTTTTCCTTTGATCACTTTTAGAAACGTGTATGTATCTATGTATATATATATATATATGTCTGTGTATGGCTTAAGAAATATTTCCTTCAACGTAAATATGTATTTAGTTCAGAGTACGAGCAAGCAGACACACTGCTGCGTGTGTGGCGCCATTTTAAACGCATTAACTTTTGATATAGAGCTACTATCAAGTGACCTTGCGTAGCATGTGTGTAACTACCTTAGTCTTTTTAACTTTCACTTAAAATCTTGGTTTTGATCAAAATTACTCGGTAAGTTCGGGGTGTAGGCATTTCTTTTTTTTTTGTTTTTTTTTTTTAATTAAATCCCGGATTTCTCATGTTCTCATTTATCTCAAGTCCTTTCTTTTCGTCTTGGATACAGGATGAACCAAGAGTTCTCTTAGCCTTGAATATCATATGTTCTGAAATCTAAAATAAAGTTAATAATAAGTTAAAAAGAAACACAAGTAATTGATTTTTTTTTTAAAGAATTTTTAATATTAAATGTTGTTAAGTTTAGCGTTAAAATAATCATTTACAAAACTTGCAACTCACCTTGTACGTATTCGTGGTTTTAGGTGAATGTTACAAGGCTTCGGTGTACAATATGAGTTTGTCGTTTGTCACCCCGTTGAATATGACGACAAATTTAAAATAATTTGTAGTAAAATCAGTAAACATATTTATATACATACGTAATGCGTGTAAATTGTTTATTTTAAAAAATTGCAATGAGTTAAAAGATATCGATCGGGATCATATCGTTGTAAAATGAAACGCTTAGTGCAAATTTATGATTTATGATGATTCTAACAATGAATATATATCTTGTTATATATTTTTCCTTTTGTTCATTCTATATAAATGATTCCAACTCTTGAATTATTATCTTTTAACATCTTTCTCTCTCTCTCTCTCTCTGTTTAACATGCGACAGTAATGTTCATATACCTAAATTAATTCACTCTATCTGTTCGACGTCACACATACTCGACACACATAGATTAGTATCGTGTAATACGTGGGATTTTAAAGTTATTGCTCAGGAAGGGGCGGCCCCGCCAATTATGTAACCGTTACTATCATCACAAATTTATAGTTGTGGTTGTAATAATGTATGATCTCTTTTTGCGTCTTCTAAGTTACCTTCATACGAATTCTTTTCGATCGATTCAAGAATTATTTTCTATGAATCGAACCTTTTCCTCTCCCCTTTTTTTTTGTCATCTCTTTCTGTCCTTTTGGACTCAGGTAAAACTTTTACGTGGTATTTCGTCCTTTTACCATTCTATTCTTTTTTTTTTTCTCCTATTTCTAGTATTCCTTCTCATTCTTACTCACCTATTCGCTTTTCGTCTTTTAACCAAAAGAACGCCATTTGTCTTGAACGACGTCGTTCCATAGTTTTCCTCGAAAAATAGGAACGTGCGTGACTAACTCGTATTTCGCATTTCTTCGATTTTCTGTTAGAGAGAAAAACGATCGATGAAAAACTTTCGTGTATTCGTAGATTTTTTTCGGAAGAACGATAATATATTATGTTTTGTGTATGTAAATACGCGTGATTAGATGTTTGGTCAATATTTTTCTTTTTCTTCTTAATATTTTTCTTCTTAATATTTTTCTTCTAGACGATCTAAGAAAATTTTCTTTCGGATTACAAATGTTCTCTGTTATTCCGTGATATCCGTTAATGTTATAGAATTAAAGAGTGCTTCACGTTAATATCACGCTCATTGTTAGCGAGTTTACACGACACGAGATTACCTTAATGATCGTTTATTTGTATCTCTTGATTGGTATGTTAGAAACATTTAATTATTTCTCTATTGTGTTGTATAGTGCAAAAATGCGCGATATTATTCAAGTATTTTCATACTTTTCTTCCTTATAAATCGTCTTATTCTTTTTATATCTCAGATTTTATTATTACATAAATGAATATTAAAATTCGATCAAGTTATAAAAAGAAAAGTTCATTATCTTTCGTGATTAACTCGTATAATGAAGGGATTAACTATACTTAGCTCCATGTAATCTGATAAAATAATTTTATCTCGATTAATCTCTCCATTCCCATTCATTTTTTTGTTCTCTATATATTCGCTGAATATAAATTTAATTATCTGACAATTAATTCCATATTACGTAATATAGAATTTGTGTGTAGAAAAATTAGGGAGAAAATATAAGCGTAATAAATATTTGTTGGTTTACATTACGACATACGTCGATTCGTAATTATTTTGGATATTTAATTAATTTGAGCACCCCGTATATATGAACTTACCAGAGATAAGATCTTCTAAATTAGAAGATGAAAACGTAGACGACGAATAAGAAAGATCTGCATCATTGCTAAATTATTTTTCACTCGTAATAGTCGTCGTTCTTTTATTTTTTCCACTCTAATTAACGAAAATCTTCTTCTTATTTTCTTTACATCGATGTTAAATGCACGAGACGTCGTTTCATTCTACGAGTATAAATATGAATCAGAGACGGTAAGAAGGAGAAAATGAGTCATGGCTTAGATTAACGGTAATTTTATGTTGTTGACGTAATTGATAACTGATAGTAGGTAGACGAGAGAGAGAGAGAGAGAGAGAGAGACCACGAGAAATGTAATGCAAGTTTTTCGAGGCTTCAAATATTACACAAATTCAAGAAAATTAAACTAAAAGAGGATGTAGAAATAATTCCTACCGTTCGACTTTCCCTTTTCCGTTCGTTTCTCTATATTATTTGAAGTTAAGAAATTTTTCTTTAATGTGTTAGAAAAAAAATAGAAAATTTCTTTGCCAATTATTTAACAACTATTTTAGGTATTTCAAGAATTTCTAAAGAACTTTACAAAATAATTATCTTTCTTTTGTAACATTTTATAAGATAATTTTTCTTTTAGTTGAAATCGTTTTTGTATTAGGCTTAAAACTTTTCGATCCATCGATGTATAATTACCTCTCCCCCTCCCTTTAAAAAAAGAAAAAAATGATTGGCTCATCGTCTATTATATTTTGTTAAATACAACAGTAGATTTCACGCGATAATAAAAAAAAATATTGAAAATTATTTGTGCATAGATTATTCGTTCATCGTATCCTCGTTTTAAAACGGAACACCGTTCGATTAAATCACCAAAGTGGAAAAGATCGAACGGGTTTGAATTAGTTCTAAATAAAGACACACAAATGTAGGTACGTAAATATGTTCGAAACTTAGGAGAAAAGAGGGACGACCAAAACTTTTCATAGAGGAGTTTCAGTTAGTTTCTCAGGAACTTTCTTGTTCCAATAACTTTATTGATTCTTCTATAGATATTTTTCCTAATGTTTGTCTTTCAATTTCCCCTTTACGTTATTCATATTTCCGAACGACTCCTATGGAAGATAGGATGCTATTTATCATAGAACATACACATACGAATAAACTTATGCGTATAAACAGTTGTGACGGACGATGTCGTAAAGAATAATTCGGAGATACTTTTTCTAAATCGAATAATTTTTCTTTATATTACGTGGGTGAGTGAAAAAAGTATTTATATGCCACGAGAGAGAAAAATAGACTTTTTATTAATAGAAAATAAAATAAAATTATTGAAAAAAAAATTGTTTCCACACACACGTTAGGCTGAAAAACATTTCAATGAATTCATTGTTGTTAGAAGATTATTGAATTACGTGACAGGAATTAAAGGAATTATATTATTTTTCTTTCTGGTTAACCGTTGATAATGCGTGTGTGAAAAATATGTGATGATAATAATAATAACAGTTCACTCGATTATTATACGTATTTTACGTGCATTTAGGCTCATTATCGAAATTATCATTTTATCAGGAATACGCGTGTGCGCGCATATAAATATTGCGAAAGGATCATTATTCACGTTTAAAAATGATCTAATCGTAACTTTTGTAAAACACATTCGATCCATTGTATTCGTACATACAATTGTTCGTCTGTTGAATAGGAAAAGAGAGTGAGAGAGTGAGAGAGAAGGAGAAGGAGAAGGAGAAGGAGAAGGAGAAGGAAGGAAAGGGAGTAACCGCGAACCAGTGATTAACGTTAATCTCTTGGACGTAAAAAAATGCAGTGTACGTCGAATGTGCTCCAAGTAGATTCAAAGATTTGCAAGAGCGAGGAGCTAATGTCATCTTTGAGTTTTGCGAATTAATCTCTTCATTACCGCATTTTTATCCGATTACAAATAGTTATACGATATCATCGGTTTATTATTTTCCGTGTTTATGCGTGTGTGTATTTATAGACCTCGGTGAAACAAATTATAATACAGTTTGATCGATAAGACGAAAGATAAAAGAATATCATTTAAAAATAATAGGGAATATTACAATATAATTAACGAAACAATTTTCAAAGACGAATCATTCAGTGCGATTAGTGTGAATATAAGGAATCGTTATAATCTATTGGATTCTTGATGGAAAGCTTCTTTTCTCCTAGATATTTCAATTTAAAATTTAATTAAAAAATTAACAAATGTTATTGTGTATTATATATGTGTCTTTTAATATTTAACTATTAATTAAAATAATTAAGGAGTTATTATTGTGTGTTGCAATGATCAAGAAGGAATGTGTTGTTACGAAATCTGTGGACCATAGCATTCAATGAATTATCATCTCGAGGATACTGTTTAGAGATAAATAGTGGCACTCGGTGTATCTCATACAATATATCTTTTCCTTAACGATGCAAATGTCGAACTAACTTTTATCGTGCAATAATTATTGTAGACTTTGTTTCTAGAACTTTCTTATCTGCCTGTCATTTATTATAGTTTTCTATTTTCACAATTGATCTAATTTCTTTTTGCTTTTTAGTTAAATTACTTTTTTTTTTTTTTTTTTAACAAAGATAATAAAATGGAGGATGATAAGGCTACGAATTTATCCAGAGAATGGTAAATTATACTTATTTTTATTTGTTTTTATCTTTTTTATATATAATTATCTCGTACGGAAGAAATTTAATATATGAATCATTTCTTTGCCTAGAGATAGTTAATGTTTTCTTTTTATAAAAGTGAATGGGTTGACTAGTTTTGAGTAAATCAAGAAACACTCTTTGATTTAAAAAAAAGAAGTAAAAGTTGATTTGACCGAAAAACAATTGTTCTTATGTGTTAGGCTCGATATTTTTCAAATCACATGGTAGGTAAAACTTTTGTAAGTGATTGCAATTAATCAATTTTTGTAATTACTTGTTTTCCCCAGATTGTAAAATAAATCCAGAAACTTTGTTGCAATCCGAACAAAATTATTTAAAAGTAATCTTATATCCGTAAAAAAATATTTCATCTATGAACTTACCCCCTAGGTATATAATATGTAAGAAGTTGAAATAGTAAAAGGAATTGTTTGTGAACAATGTTAGAACGAGTCTACTGTTATCTCTGCCTTTTACTCGTGAAATAATAATGGAAAAAGAATCGCGAAAAGACGTGAAAGAGTTACGAGTTAGAGAACGGGTTATTCTTTGCCACGCAATTATTTTCAAATATTTATAAAAAGAACTATGTTCGCGATAGAGTGAAGTATGTATATGGAATCTTCGATCAAGCTTGATAATTAAATTATCCCCCCCTTCCCTCCTACCCCACCTCTCATTATTTTTTTACTTTTTCTTTATTTTTCTTTTTTACATTTGCAAGGTCTCGACAAAGTTTCGCATAAACGAGTATCTTTGAACAAATCTTTTATAAATAACGATCATTTATCTTGAACAAAAATATATTTTTATTTTGATTATTTTTTGTAATATTGAATTTCTCAAATTTTCTCATTATTTTATTTATTAGATAATTGACTGATAACAAATGGTACATATTCTTCGATGTATTAGATATTTTTCAATCTTTTTTTCGTATTAGTTAACTTTGGCCTATATCTGACACACTTTTCAAACATGTGTGTATGTATGTACATATATGTATGTGTTTATCATGGATTATAGGCCAATAAGATTATGTTCAGTCAATCGTTCGTGCTCTTGTTCTTACCTAAGCAAGCATAACTATGTCAGTAACCTGTTGCCGCAGAGATACACGTTTACATCTACATAAAAATATATGTGCTTATATGTACATATACATGTTTACATTCGTAAGAATCTAATAGGATTTTGTTTGAATATCTCAACGAGAGAGAGAAATAGAAAAAGAAAATTGAGAAAATAGTATCAACACGTTTGTTGCTGTTGTGTAGATGCTCTATCGTTATTTTAATTTTTGATTAATTATAAAAACACACAATGCGAAAAGAATAATCAAGAAAAGCGATTCAAGTGACATGTGTACGACATGCTAATGTGTTGTATTTTAGCTGAGAGAGAAAGAGAGAGAGAAAAGAAATTATAATAATCAGTAATTAATTAAAAAAAATAATTTTGGAATTTTTAATCGACCATTATTTTCATTTACACTTATTTGATTAGTATTTTCATATTATTTTGTTTCTCATTGTTATTACATAAAAATGAAAAATATGCTAAAAACAAAAAACGTTATAATCTTAAATTTTATTGATTAGGTGGATTATTTACTTTATACACATGCGCAACGTTAGGAAAATCAGATAAATAATATTTATTAAAAGAAATTTAATAGAGGACAATGACTCAGTTCAACGGTGGATTTTAAAGGAGACGGTGCACCGAATATATATTCAGTGCTTTTAGACAACGATATACATTTTTTTTAGATTAATTAACAATCATTTAAGATATATCGCATATTTTAATGTAATTTCTTGATATTTAGGATTATTAATTTAACATTTTATATAAGAAAATCAAAATCAATATCAAAGAAGGACATTAATTGTTAAACATTAAGCAATCTGCAAGATGCATCCTCTGGTTGTCGGGGCAAGTATTACAGTTATATGTGATTTGATGTCTTTCACCAGACTTTATTCGTTGAGAACAAATCTTGCAATCCTTTTTAATTCTTGTTAATGCATAACATGTAACTTCTCATTCTATTACAGTCCTTCACAATTTGGACTCAGAACTTTTCAGCCCTTCTTTACTTTAATTATAAAAAGAAAAATAAAGAAAAGTAAAAAAGGGGAAACAAACGATGAAATAAAAGAGAAAAAGAAATCCACGTTGGCCCATTCGTACGAATTCGTCTCCGACAGTTACGAGAGGGATGAGTCGAGGGATGAAACGAAATGAAACGAAACGGAAAGAAAAGAAAAGAAAAGAAAAGAAAAGCAAAGCAAAGCAAAGCAAAAAAAAGAAAAGAAAAGAAAAGAAAAGAAAAGCAAAGAAAAGCAAAAAAAAAAAAGAAAAGAAAAGAAAAGAAACGTAGAGAAACGTAGAGAAAATGAAAGAAATGAAACGAAGAGAACAACGAGGAAAAGTCCTTCGAGAGTTTCGAGAGATTTTCTTTTTCTCTTTTTCTTTCTATCGATCGATTTAACGAATACAATGGAAACGTTTCACGGTAGATGACTCAAGGGTTTAACCTTAATTCCATTCGCATCTCTTTTTTTTTATTCTTTCTTTTATTCTGTACGCGTTTAAAGGTCTTCCTCGTATGTCTTATATGTAATAATGTGAAAACTCTCGTATAATTGATTAAAGAAAAAGAAAATCTTCCTTTTTATTTATGCATATCTTTCGCGCACATACGTTAAGAGTGAATATAAAAAAACCCGAGACCATTTAAACAAAATCGAAAGACCGGCTTAATTTGTTTTCAATTCCAATTGCTTTATTACAAGCTCGAGAACTTTTGTACAGTTCGACCAAAAAAATTAGCCTTAAAAGTTAGTCGGAGAAAAAAGTAATTAATTATTAAAATCTTGTAACAATTTTTGGGGCTTCTACTGCATTGATGTATCTAAAAAAAAAAAACAAGTCTTCGTGTTTCTCATATATATTTGTAAAACAAAACGGTAGAACGTGAGAGAAAATGTTCTTCTTTCTTTTCATTTATATTTTATATATCTATCGTTTATATATACGCGTAATATTTATAATTATACGTACGTATATATGTATATGTGTATGCACACGCACGTTGAGATATTTTAAAATTTAACACGTTTAATATTTTGCATATTTTTTTAGCACAATATGCTAATTTTTTTGTTGACAATATGCGCGTGTATATTTAGCGGCACAATCATCTTTGCTACTCGCGATGAAAGTAAATGAAATTCTAAAAACATAATAATCGTTCACTGATAAAATATTTTTACTAAGCTTACGCTGTCACAAGTTCACGTGATTGATACACTCTTTATCAGGCTTTAGTTAGAGACTGTACGATTACCTAGCTTCTCTTTGGGTTTCCGTTATTATTCTCATCCGTTTTTAACTGACACACGTATTTCATTTGGGTTTCCCTCGTTAATAAAAAACACAGTGGTGAATATTTGTTGTGTCTTTTCTTGCACAAAGTTCCATTTATTTCTATATTTTTATTTACTTTATTTTGTTGTTGAAAAATTACGACAAATTTTATTTGCATTGCCTGTTGACAGTGGCATTATTGGTGATAAGTTGCAATGGCGCGAATTTTCAATACTTCTAACGTTCTAAATCAATTGTTTTCTACAACTTTTTTTTTTATTTCTTTTTTGTTTAAACGGAATTAACATTAGACGCATAGTTTGTCTATTCTTTACGAGATGATAATTTAATTGTGGAAATAATAGTATTTGCATATGTGCCCTTGAATGTGATGATCCTCTCGTATGTGTAAATTTAAGCTTACAGTTAAATATATACATTGAGATCTGGAAAAAAAAACTTGTATTCTCTATCAATCGTTTACGTAAGATAATAGAAAGAAAATTGAAAGAGAGATAAGATTTTAATTTGATGATTACTCAAGGCATCTAACTGTTGACTGTTTTATGCTCAATGCGGTTGGCAATACTCTCGCAAATTGCCTTTCCTATTTGATTTGCTACTTAGAACGAAATAGGAGTCTTCGATCTCTTAAACGTAGCTAACTGTAAATACGAATAGTAAACAATATTTCATTCGATAATCTTCGTCAATGTTTTATTACACTAACCCAATGGCGTCGTTCATTTACAAACCATTATTTAGAATTATTATAATATATATTCTTTTTTTTTAATATAAATTAAAAAAGACATTCTCTATATACATGAAATTTGTCAAATCTTTTCGACGTAAGAAGAAATAAAGACTAATAAGAAAAAAATATGTTAAATTAAATCGAAAGTCATCGTCGTATGCAATTATTATTAATGAGTTCATTTTTATTCACGACCCAACAAAAAAGTGTCAGGTGATTCAATCGTATTTTCATCGCGAGGAATAAATGATTATGAAAATAAATAAAGTGAAAGTCATCGTCGTAATGATTATGATGACGATTTCATTCATATATACCCGGGTATCCTGATTTATCACATGTCCGGTTGTATTCCATTCGATAAATATATATGTATTATTTTTTATAAAGAAAAAGAAAAGAGAGAAAAATATAAAAAGAATGTCGCGTATCTATGTCGCGTTGAAAAATATTAAATCTCAGAGACACTATGGTGTGCAGTTCTCGGTTACGCCAAGATCTATCGAGGTCGAGATACGTGCCATTTTGTTTTTCTCTTCTTTTTGAAAGTGGAACTCTCTACACATAATAATTAATTTTTTTTCCCTTCTTTTTCCTTAATATATATATTTTTATTGCCATTATTTATTAATAATAAATTGGTGTCCATTATACTCAATACTTATTTGCCAATTCAATATACAATATACGTACATAATTTAACATATCCCATAAATCTCGAATTTGAAGTTAACTGAATAATATTTTCTATTCGTTTTTTTTTATGAATAAATGATAGGTAAAAAGATTTTGCGTACGATTCGTGTTCTCATTAATTCTCGCTAATATGATCAAGTAAATGAATTATGGAAATACCAATAGTACGTGTTATCGATGAGTATAATTAACAACCGATATTCCTTTCTCTTTTTCTCTAACGTTTAAAATGAGAAAACAAAATAATTATATTCATACTGCGTACGAATAAACGTATACGTAACAACGTAATATCGTGCATACGTATGTGGTTTATTAAACGGGTTTCTTTCTGTTCGAAGTAAGAAGGAAAAGTTTACGGTTGAATTCGATCGGTTAGTGTGATGTTGGGTTTAAAAATTCATACGAATCCTGTATATCTACACTGTATAGATAGATATATATATATAGGGTTTTTCGCCTAACTTGACCACCTAAAATATCCTGTTTATCTCGTACGATAGAAAAATATATTCTATTCGTAGGCGCCGATATAATGAAGGCCGAAATTTTTTTTCAACGTCATTTTTGTCGAGATATCAAGGTCATCGTTTTTTTCTTTAAATGGGACTGCATATTTATATTAGAATATTCTTACAGCTTATAAAAAAACGAATCTAACGATGTACAACATGTTGACCATGAGGTGAGCTTTACCGAAAAAATTGTAAAATGTTTGTCAGGAATTTCAGTATGCGCTCGAAGGATAATAAATGAAGAAACGAATGCAAATTAACGTGTAAGATACTTATACAAGCAAAAAATGTACAAATCATGCAAATCATGTACAAGAGACAACATTTCTCAATTTTCTCGGTAAAGGTCACCAGATGGTCAACATGTTGTACATCGTTGGATTCGTTTTTTTATAAGCTATAAGAATATTCTAATATAAATATGCAGTCCTATTTAAAAAAAAATACGATGACCTTGATATCTCGATAAAAATGATCTTGAGAAAAAAATTTCGGCATTTTATTCTATATCAGCGCCTTTGAATAGAATATTTTTTTCCTCTGACATTTTATTCTATCGTACGAATTTAATGAGATATATTAGGTAGTCGAGTTAGGCGAAAGACCCTGTATACTATTATATGAATATATATGTATATAGATAGTTATGCGTAAGCAAGTAGTACTTTATAGTTCAAACGGTATTATGATTAAACTAACAATAAATTGGAACTTATAGACTCGTAGTTAAGTTTCGTAACGTTGCGTCGAGTATGAGTTTGAAGGAAAAAATTATTTGTTTAAGGAATGTGTTAATGATTTATTTAAAAAATGTTGACGTTTGTTCTATTGCAATATAAAAATAAATATAATTTATTAGAAAGAGGAGGGAAAGAGTTGAATTAAATAAGAAAGTACTTGAAGGAAGATGTATTTCTACTCTCTCTCTATCTCTTTCTTTTTATCTTAGGATGGTATTGGACCCCAAGGTCACGAGTCTGCATAGCGATTACGGAAGTTTTGATCGACCATTGGGTGGTGGGGAGGGTCACGAGAGGGACGTGGAGGCGGCTGTTGATGGGAGTAGCAGCGGAATGGCACAATCGAGTGACGTTTATCAAAGGCAACCTCTTTTACCTGGTGCACCAACTAAGAGTAAGGACAAGTGGTCGTCCGGGGTGGCTTCCGGCTCGGATTATTACGAGGACGACGAGGAGGAAAAAATCGACGGTCTTGGACGTCATCCAGGAATAACGAATGGACCAGGAAGCGGCGTCGTTAAAATCGACATACCGGCGCCGCTTCGCGAGGAGCCACGATTTCCCAAAGAAAAATGGAAAACTTTTCTTGGTAATTCATTCATTCTTAACAAAGATTTATTGAAACGATTTCTTTAATCAATATCTATGATATGCAAAGTAGTAATTAGGTAATGTTAATATCAAGGTTTATATATATGCTAGGATTAATAATATATTTTATATTTAATTTAAAACAACTTTGCGCGAATATATATATTAAGGAGATATTAAAATGGTATTAATTTAAATATAAAATCGAAAGATTTGTAGTACTCTCGGTAAAGAAAATTATCGATTAGAAATAATGTTTATATTAAATTTGTAAAACGATACTCATATTTTGTAACCAACGCTCGTTAAGATTCTATTAACCAGTATAATATGATTGTACTCGTGATTTTGTTTTATATCGTTTGATTATTTTCTTGCCCCAATAGCTTTCCTGTTCATGGTCGTGAACTTCATACTGACCACGGCCTCACTCGCGATGGTGCACGAACGTGTTCCAGATCGAAATAACTATGGCCCGTTACCAGACGTTGTTCTGGATAATATTACTGCCCAAGATTGGGCTCTTAATGTATCCGAAGTTCTCATTATGATAATGTCCAACTCGGCAATGGTTTTCCTTATTTTTCACAAACACAGGTACGTTCAACGTTTACGACTTGATACGTGATTTCATTCAAGTAATAGACGTAATCGATGAACACGTTCATTAATTTAATTTAATCTTCCTTTCTCTGTAGGTTTATCGTCGTCAGAAGAATATTTCTTTTGATGGGCCTGCTGTACATGATGAGGAGCGTTACAATGTACGTGACCGTTTTGCCGGTCGCAAGTAAAACTTATTTCTGCAGTCCAAAGGCGAACAACACGAGTCCTCTTCTTGTTACCAAAAGAGTGCTGCAACTTATATCCGGTTTTGGTTTGTCGATAAATGGCAAACACACTTATTGCGGAGATTACATCTACAGCGGTCACACGGTTGTACTTGTACTTAGTTACCTGATTATTAAGGAGTGTATGTAATATTTAAATATTCTTTAAGAGTATATTTTAGAATTTATCGTAGATCCTATATGATTTTATTTACAATTGCATTGAGAAGATAACAAGGATATATTTTTATCTTTATCATCTGACAATTTTTGATATTATGAAATTTTATTAAGATAATCGGTTAATAATAATATATCAAACTTTATTTAAATGTACTTTTATTTTTCCTTGCAGATTCTCCGAGGAGATGTCAACCGATTCACTGGTTAGCAGGTCTTACGGTCTTTGTTGGCATAGTTATGGTATTGGTAGCTCATGGACATTATACGGTGGATGTTCTTATAGCATATTATGTAACTACACGTTTATGGTATATATACCATACATTAGCAAATAATTCTTATTTGAAGGTACGTCAACATATCCTACCACCAACACAAAATATCTCTTTTAAATCATAAATTGTATTTTAACATTGAACGATTTAATTATCTTTTTTGTTTTATTATTTTGATTTACAGCAAAACGGACCAAATAATTTTCTGGCCCGGCTCTGGTGGTTTTCTATTTTCAAATATTTTGAGAAAAACGTAGGTGGTACAGTGCCACGACAATACAATTGGCCTTTGCCTTGGCCTCGGAGATTTCTTGCCAAGCATCCTAACCGAGATAGTTAATATCTGCCCAGGCTCCAAGATAGAGACTGATAAGTAACGAAATCCTTCCTGCGTGATGTGCTGCATGTATATGTATATATGTATATTTAAATATATATATATATATATATATATATATACATATATGTATAGAGAGGGGAGGGGGGAGAGGGAAATAGAGAGAGAGAGAGAGAGAGAGAGAGAGTGAGAGAGAGAGAGAATTATACATATACATATACAGAATCATACATATGCATAGAGATATTCGTCTGCACCTAAGGCTTATTCTTAGAAAGATAAAGCTTAGGCAGAAGGGAAGTGTCCATGATATAAATGTATATTTATATATATATTAATTATGCGAATTATTGCGAATCACATCCTCGACCTTTTCTCTCTCTTTCTCTCTCTCTCTCTCTCTCTCTCTCTCTCTCACATCGTGAATTTGAAATAAAAGAAGAGGGAACTCGCACAAAACTTTGTATCGGTCGTGTATTTGTTAAACCGCGTGGGATGCGGTCCAAAAATTTTGTTCAGCGTACGCGTATTGGAATCTGCAGTTTATTCGATCGCGTCGCAATTCACGTATTATCTGATTTTCACGAAAAAGAAATGAAATAATTAGCGCATTGTATCCTATGTAAACAAAAAAAAAAACAAAGGAATTTAAAATAGCTTCAAATCCGTTGTGTTTTGCGCGAAGAAGTTTTAGAGGGGAATTGGTAGGATTATAGAGGTGGGGCCGGGAGGGGGAGAGATATCTTGACGATAAGAACAAAAAGATCTAATCGAAAAGATTCGAACGCACACACCGATATTTATACGAACGTATATATATATATGTTTCATTTCGATTCACACACGTTCACACACTAATCACCTGTCAACATATACAAGCGATAACGAGAGTCATTTCTGATTTTCGGAAGAAAGGGAGACTCGATAGTTTTTTTTTCTGTAGACGAATTAAATCGTTTCATTTTTTTTGTCTCCTTTTTTTTTTTAATAACACCAAAACCTTCCTCCAAATCTAATCGTTCTATTTTATATATCTCGATTACTTCCAATATATGCAACCTGCCCTACGACTTATTCCGGCGAAAAACGATATCCAGCAATGAATACGTTGAAATCTACATATACATATACTTAAATATATGTATATATATGATATTGTGGTTATATATTATAATTAAAAACCTTATAATTTTTTGATTTAAAAAGAATATAATTCCTCGAAATTGTTTTCTCACGGGCAGCCTTGAAAGGACGTAGATTTAAAGAGAAAAAAAGTAATAAAGAACAGTAAAAAAATTTATTGAAAAAAAATCATATTGAAGAAATAAAAAAAAAAAAGCAAAAGAGAATGAAAGAAAATTTAGTACCCTACCCTGTAGTAGAGGCGATCGTGCAATTTCGTGGGACCAAAGTAGGATGTTTTAAAGAGATTGATATGTTAGTTTAATACAAATATGGAAAGATAATACAAAGTATATATACTTTATTAAGTAATAGGAAGAAAACAACAATAAAAAAACAAGTAATTAATTCAATCAATATTATATACGGTGTGATATACATATAGAGATTTTAAATAATCGATATAAAATCAAACGATTTTTTTCTATTTGTAAAATTAGATCAACGCAAAAATTTAATCATTTTTTTTGGAGGGGAAAATTCTTTTCTTTCTTTTTTTTTTTTTAAATATACGGTTGTCTCTAACTTTACTTCTCTCAAGACTGGAATAAAAAAAAAAGAATAAATCAAGATTATTTATTAGATTAGAATATAAATAATAATACTTGAAAACAATTTAGAAAGTATATATTTAAAAAAAAAAAAAGAGAAAAAAGCACACATGCCCGCGTAACGATTATCTTACGAACATTTTTTAAAACTCTTGACTCTTTACGCGAGTAACAAATGAACTGAATATAAAAAAAAAAAAAAGAAAGTAGATTGCAAAAATCGTGATTCTTCGGAATAAGATCGTTAGCCATTCGTAATTATATACGTGTATGTATTTCTATCTTGTACATGCCATAGCGATGAACCTAATTAATAATACACAGACACACGTATGTATAAATTTAAGACGATTTTACCAATTAATCATCGAAACCGTAGTTTAGCTTTTGTCGGTAGAATTTTTTTTCTTTTTATTATTATTATTTCGATTAGATTTCATCTCTCTCCTAGCATCTCGTAACTTCATACACGAGATAAGCATTTCCTTCACTAATTCTTGCCTATTTGTTATTTGTTTTTTTTATTTAACCCTTTTGTTACATTAACATTGCATGCATTAACACGAGTATCGTCGCATAGTAAACGACTACTATTATTATATGGGTCGGTCGGTCGTTCGTTCGTTCATACGGGGCCTTTGCATAGGCGACCCATATGGGGGTCGCTAGTAACGAAAGGGTTAATAATCATTTTCACGAATATGAAAATATATGTATATATATATATATATATACATACATACGAGATATTAATAGATGCGCTTATATCATTTATGTATATACATATGTGATTTATTAATTACAATAAAGTGCGCGCGCGTGCTCGTGAACTGCGAATCTCAATTATTATAATTACTATTATTACTATATTACTTTTTTTTTCTTTTTAATTTAGAGGAATTATTAATTTAAGAATAGGCAGCGTAATAATAAATAGAAAAAAATAAAAAAAAAAATAAAACTTACCGTGTGTTAGCAATTGTTGATTTGCGCGTGTTAAATGAAAGTTTGTCTATATCATGCGATTTAAACTCGAGAGAGTATTCCGCATATATTGTAATATTATCGTCTAGTTTAAGCGAAAGAGAAATGATGACTTCTTCTATTTAGCTCCATCTTATTGTAAATTTTAAGTGACTATTATTATTATTATTATTATTGCAAATTGTTATCATATACCTCTATATATTATACATTTAGTAAAATTTCTTCCGCTATTCGCGTCGTTCATTTTCTTTTCTTCTGCGTTTAGTCACAATATATATGTGTGTATATGTGTATAAAAAATAACTAAAAAACAAGAAGAAGAAAATGTTTTGTAATAAAGTTCACACACGACTGACAAAACTTAAGATTATGTAATCGATTACAAAAAATGTTAGATTTTTCAATTTATATTTTTTGTGTGTGTACAGTACTGATCTATCATTGTTATATCGACACAAACACACGTGCAAACAAACATACGTGCAAACAAACATACATACACACACACACTAAACAACACAAAATAAAAGAATTGATAGTAGTATACCACTGATAATCTAATCTGTTATAAAACCTTTTCATTACCGAATGAAATATTTAATTTTTTCAGAAAGAACAATAGACACGAATTACTTGAAAAATATATCGGAACCAAATTTATCGTAGTATTTGCCACAATAAATTCTTGATAAATAAAGAGGAAGTATGATATTTATTGAAATAAAATGATATAATCATTGTATGTAATGTTGAAATAGTGTAAAACTGGTTGAAGAGAATTCATGCGTTTTATCCATCTGTGATGATAATAAAAAATTAAAAAAAGAAAAAGAGAGAGAGAGAGAGAGAGAGAGAGAGAGAAAAGAAAAAGAAATTTGTAATGGCGGACACGTGCATTGATCTCTGCAGCGGTTCAAATAATACTTCTTCTTCAAAACAATGTTAATAAACAAATGCGTATACCATTAAAGATATTTTAATAAGATTAAATGTGGTTCATGGTAAATTTAGCTGTTGCTGCAGTGCATTTGACGTGTAGAAGGATCATTTAGATATATTTTGTAATTTTAACATATACAATATGTATGTGTTACTGCTAAATGCGTGTGTACGAAGAACTTTTACATAGATATATAAATATATATATATATATGTAATTATAAAAATATGTATGTGTATGTATGTAAATAAATAATTACGTTTATAATTGTACCGTTTGTCCTGTTTGGACAGATTACGCTTTATACGTGCCGCAAAAGGACGGACATTTGATGTTTTAGAGTTTAGAACGGCCCAGTGTTAGAGAGGAATACTATTTTCATCTCGATTAAAAGAATTTTTAAGTATCGGTGGTCAGAGGGACGGGGGCAGGGTAATGGAAAGCAAGAACGAATAAATAAATTCATAAATAAATAAAAAAGTAATGTGCAGGTGTTTAAACACAGAGAAACACGAACAGATAGTCTACTTAGTCACATATACACATATATTGATATATATATACAGTTATACATACTTAATATTGTTTACATGTGTATATATATATGTATGGACGTATACCGTGGAAAAATATACAAGTTCACGCACACGATAGCAAGACAAAAAAAACTGCTAGAGAAAAGGGCCTCTCGTTGATGTTTGCAAAATGAATATATATATAAGAAAGATTAATAATAATAATAATAATAATAATAATAATAATAATAATAATAATAATAATAATAATAATAACAAAAAATGAATGAAAGATACACCTTCATATACATATATAATATAGTAATTGTATTACAGCCGTAATACGCGCACACGCACGACGCTCGCTTGCTCGTGTGTGCGTTAGTTTAATGTGTATGTGTGTTTATATATATTATATCTATATATTTTTACTTGTAGATATTTTTTGGTAAATTGTTACAATAATCTGATATTAGGAACTAGTTAAGTACATATATATATATATATATATATATATATATATACATATACGTTTGTAAATAACGATAGCAATGAGGAATAAGAAGCTTCTGTCACTGCGTGAAAAGAAAAGAAAAGAAATGAAATAAATAAATAAATAAATAAATAAATGAATGCATGATGAATGAATGAATGAATGAATAAATAAGACACGAGAAGGAAAAATGAATCTACGTAAGCAAATCAAAAAAATTTTGTTACCGCGTTGACGTTGTAGAATTTCAAATATTTGCGATAACACACGTTTCTGTCTTTCTCTCTCTATATATATATATTATATATATATATATATATATATATATGTATATATATATAAATGTGTAGAATATTGTATATTATATATATATATATATGTATATCATGTATAGATTATATATATATATTATATATATCAGAATTTTTCAAACTTTTCCATTTGGCGACTCCTTTTACTCGAGGAAATATTTTCGCAACCCTAAATATGAAGATGTGTAAACTAGGAATACAAATTCAAATATTTGCTGATAATAAATCATAAGGATTCTTTGGTATACATACGAATATTATTTTACCATACATAGAAAACCATACTTGAATTTCTACGATCCTATATATGGGGTCGCCAGTAACACTTTGAGAAGCCCTGATGTATATTATATATATTATGATTTCAACTATATTTTCGATGACTAGGTAAACGACGTGCAACTTGATTTCTGTTACCATAAATTGTACATACTGTAATTCTCCTTCTAGTTAGTTATATATTCATCATATTAAAAATACACACGAACACATTATAGGACGGCATTAAAAAAAAAGCAAAAGATAAAAAAAGAAACGAAATGATCGAGAAAAAGGAAACAAGTTGTATTCGAATTTACTTTATATTCTGTATTTATAATATTTATTACGTTTTTCGTATGTTGATGTAATAAAGTTCAAGTATTCTTTACAGTAACCCTTCATTAATATTGACTGTCGTTACATTTTGATGTCTTTTCTAATGGCATTTGAAATTAGTTTCGTACGATCTTTATTATGGGAGGAAGGATTGACAGGATTCGCTGAAAATATTGGAATATAAATTTTAAAATAGGAAACTGTACAAATTGACGTTCAAAAATGAAGTTGTTGTTCTCGAATAAATTTTCGATCGTTTTCGATTAATTGGTCATATCGTCAAACTGACATCTGTCAAATGAAAACATAATGTTGTTTGTCCGATCAAAAATATAAATTTACAAGTGCAATTAAATTAATAAATTCAATCTATATAAAATGGATAGAAAATTGTAAAAACAAAAGAACAAAAAAGAAAATATAAATAGAAAAAATAGGAAGAAAAATATAATGGCAGAGTAAGTCCACATATTTGTGTTATAATGAACGTAATTGAATTTCAATAAATGTAACGTAACTATATATTTCTTCTAAAACGATTATATAAATAATTAACAAAAATGACAAATATATTTAGCCAAAAAAAAAAGACGGACGAGTCAAAAAAGAAAATAGAAATAACGGAAGATCCAGGTGGGGCAGGCGAGGGTAAGAACGCTAGGAAACGAAAACAATTAGCGAAGTACGAATTTGGTAAACGATGGCATCGTTTTCGCGTATTGACGCCAACCTGTTCGATTTTGCGCGGTTCTTTTGCGATGAACGATCCACATTTCAAGTACAGAAGTCGTGGTCGTCAAGCAGCACCATGTTCAATCGTGGCAATCGTTTATGGTCGACTGTTCGAGCCTAAGGAATGGAATCAGGATTACGTAGACCAAGTGATCGAGTACGGGGACAAATTATTTCGCATAAGTATGATGAGGAATCGCGTTAAGGATAATCAATATATGAAAGCTATTTTAGTCTATCCCGAATTTTACATTGGCAATTATAAGATTTTAATTTGCGTAGAGGAGACTGGCATTTATGGGAATCTTTTTAGCGAAACCGTAGGATGTTCAGATTTTGCCGATGGCCTTAATCAATTCTTCAGGACCAACGATGCCGGCGTTATTACAGCTCAAGGTACGTCCGTAGCCATGTGGCGTCATCTTGACATTGGTTTCTTGTTTTTTGATCCTGGATCATGCGGGCAGAATGGTCTACGTAATCAAAATGGGGTTGCATGTTTGATCAGATTCAAATGTATGAACGACATGCGTGATCACTTTCTCAAAAATATGAACAAACGATACGATTCGAGATATTGTATAGATAAAATAACTATTTTACGAGTAAACGAGGTAGGCCGTGGTTATATCGATAAAGTTACCAGCGGAACCGATCTGGTCGTTGACAAAAGTGTTCTTAGATCTATCAATCCTGTTGACATCGATGAAAATAAAATGGATTGTACGAGACCTGTACCTAAAAGCGAGAAAACTAAGATAATTGCAGCTGCTAAATTGCACAAGGAACCATTGACTATAACTATTTCGAATTATAGTATCGACAAAAAGTTTGCTACCGAGCCATTAGTCGATCAGAGTACTTTCGACACCGGTTATCCTTACGATAACATACACGTAAACATACCTTCGACGTTTCGTGAATTACCTAAGAAAATTGCCATACTTCATGGCATGACTCACGAAGCTAGCGACGTGTACAAAGGTAAAGGTGCTCAGAACGTAGCCAATTGTGCGATGGCTATCGCTATGAAAAAGATTCATCCCATGAAAACTTGGATGAGACCTAAATTGGACGAGATTTTGACATTAGGTGACGAACTTTATGCCGACGTAAAAGTTGATAAACCTTTTATTAAGACAATTACTGCTGCTGATCTCAATGACACTTACATTCAAATCGAAAATCACAAACTGGCTATCGACGTTGACTTAATTACTATTACCGGAACGGTAAGTTCGAAACTTCCGGATGTATTGAACCTAAAGCAAGCACTTCGTGAATTTTTCTTGATCAACAAAGAAGGTATCATTGAAACTCCTTCGATGGCTGTGGCTGTATGGAGTCAAGATGACTGTTATTACGCCTTTGATCCACGTCATTGCGATAATTTTGGTAATAGAATAGTTGAAGATAAATCTAAGGGTGGTAAAGGTGCCAATAGTGGACATGTCCAAGTTGCTGGCAAATGTTGCGTTGTGAGGTTTCCAGAATCCGACGATCTCGCTTTATGGTTCACGAATAATCTCGAACCAATTGGAAAGAACGATCGTTTTACCATAAGACACGTCACCATTCTAAACGATATTCCTGGTACTAGAACTTGGAAAGATTTCGAACCAGGTGTAGCAGGTGAAACTTGGATTCTTCGTGGTGGAATTTCTAACGAAGATGAATCCTTGGAAGATTCTAGCAGAGGTGTTCAAGGTTTGGCTATACCTGTGGTAGCTTTGGTCTATGCCAAAGAGACACCACCTGAAAAATGGACAAGAGAGATCGTCGACGAGGTTATTAGAGAGGGTGATCTTTATTACAATTTTTGTATTCCATTAGAACCGGAGGAAGGAACCGAGCAACCATTTGTGGTCACCGATTTGAAAAAAAGTTTTTACCTTAAGAATAGAAAAGTCAAGTTAGAGTTAGACGATTCCATCATAAGTGGTGATTTGAATGCAACACCCGAACAAAATATATTAAATCTAAAAGAAGGAATTACAAAATTCTTTGAGAATTATCAATATGGTATCGTTGAGTTAGGAAACTTGACTGTAGCGATTTGGAAATTTGAAGAAGATTCGAAATACAAGAATCATAATAAAGACGTGGAGAAAATTACGTATTATTATTGTTTCGATCCGAATCCTCGTGGCAGATTAGGCGGAAGACCGGCGGAAGAAGATAGCGTTGCTTGCGTCATTCGAACCCTCGATCCTACGATTTTATCTTCAATTATCGCAAGCAACGCTGTCATATCTCGAGATCGCGGAACCGAATATTGTATTCATAATTTGAAAAGTTTGGCGATAGGTTTACCCATGACGGAAGAGGATTTAGAAAATGATAGGCAAATACCGGAGGAACCAGATATGCATCATTATTCGAAGTTAGCCGAAGGTGGCGCAATATTACAAGGTAGTTTTAATCAGGCCAACGAAAAGATGTTTAAAAGACAAACGTGTGACAAACAACAAGCGGCCAGTTCAATGGTAGCTTTAGCTATGACTAAACTTTATAATCCCCATTTATGGTATCGAGAGGTTGTCGATGACATACTGAAGATTGGTGACAAAATGGTAACGGATAATTTGACAAATTTAGAAGAGATAGATACGGAAGCCGAGGAACCGAGAAATTATTTTTTGCCGATAGAATTCGCTGAAGATTTTACCATAGGTGTCAATCGCATGAACGTAAGTTTGGAAGAGGAAATTATTTATGGCAAAGTAACCGACATGGTCAAACTCTTAGAACAATTTTTCGAGAATAGCGTCATGGGTATAGTCAGACAGGAGAATGTTATGATGCCGATCTGGAGAGAGGGCGACGTTTATTTCATGATGGATCCCAGAGGTAGAGATTCTCGTGGCGAATCTTCGGAAAGAGACCCAGCTGCTGTTATGTGGTTCACGGATCTTGCATCTTTGTCTACCAAACTCGAGACAGGTTTAAACGCTGAAAAAGATTTCGTAATTGATAATTTGACATTGGATAATGCATTCGAGACACGTGTTACTGAAATGGAACGTGTTAGGGGCACCACTTCTGGGGACGATCTTTGGCATCATTTTCCTAAATTTGCCGATAACGTTTGGAGTATCGGGGGAAACGTCACGATGATCGACACGAGATTCGACAAATCTAATCACAACAATCAGACTGCAGCTATCGCAGCAATGGCTATAGTTTTCTCAAAAGTGTACGAGCCACGAAATTGGACAGGTGCTGTTGTCGATGAGGTGATCGTAACCGGTGATAAACTGCACTCAAAGTGTGTCGAGAGACTTGGACGAGAAACGGCACCACGTATCAACGAAATCATCACGGAATTCTTTCTCTCATCTCGTCGAATAGATCTGACGATTAAAGATTGTATCGAAGCTGGGGATCTCAGTGGGAAACCACCGAAATTACAAAGCTTGCAGACTGGAATTGATAAATTCTTTGAAAAGTATGACTCCGGTATACTTATTGCAAACGATAATCGACACATAGCCATTTGGAAGTTCAAGGATGTTTATTATTGTCTTATACCGGATTGGATTAGTCAAATCGAGGAACACGCGACGATAGCACCGAGAGTATTCCGATTTGCTAACACCACGATCATGGTGGAATATTTTTTGAAACATCTTGGAAGGGAAGGCGATTACGAGATCGCAGCCATCGACGTGGTTGATTGGAATAAATTCTCACCGTGGAAATTTGATCCCAGTCCTGCTGTACGTCCATCGAATTTACCACCATTAAACGCCTATCGTAGACTCCAAGGAGAAGCTCGGGCAATTTTACGGGGTACTTATCATCAAGGTGATGAAATTTTTCCCGAAACTTTGCGTAACAAGCAAACGGCAGCTAATTGCGTGGTCAGTCTTGGAATGTCCGTGATCAAGAGTCCCATCACTTGGACGAAAAGAACTATGGATGAGATTCTTGCTATTGGTAATAGCGTTCATCGCGAGACTATGAAAGCCAAACCTGGAAAGATGAGATTGATACCCCAAGATATCATTCGAGTATTTTACGTAGGTGTTAACATTTTGACCGCTGATATAGAATCTAATACGGTATCGGGAATAGTTGCCATACCACCCCCGGATCCGGATGAAAAGAAAAAGAAAAAAAAGGGTGTAAGAAAGAGAGCCAAAGCTGTTGGACGAAAAGCTAGGCCAACCAGAGTTCGTGCTCCACCACCAGCACTTATTTTACTCGAGGAAGGATTGAAGAAATTTTTCGAAAACAATCGTGCTGGGATATTAGTAACTGGTCGTGGTATGTCAGCGATTTGGAAAGACATGGGTGTTTATTTCGTGTACAATCCCCGTGCTCGTAGCGATCAAGGTCTTCCCGATTTCTATGGAACATCTTGCGTTATGTGGTTCGCCTGTATGGAACCATTTTACGAATTAATCTTTGCGAATATCGACGAGCAAGAAAAATATGGTCGGTATGAGATTTGTCGGGTTATAATAAAGACCGTCATGATCGAACCGTTGCCTTGTCCTGCTGGTTTTCGACCATACTTCGATTGCACGGCACCACCTATACCTGTCACACGAATGAAAAAAACAACAACGTTGGCTGTTGAAATTGTAACCGATTATTACGTCGTTGACGAAGAACTTAGCGTTCTACGTGGTACTTTGCACATGAATCATCGTATCTTTGATATCAAAAGCAGAGGACTTCAGAGTACTGCTATTGCTGCAGTGGCCATCGTAGTTGGTCTCTTACACGTACCTTCTTCTTGGACACCGGAATTAATCGATGCTGTCCTGAAATACGGTGACTTATTACATTCCGACAGCGTTCGTGCTGCTCGTCCAGGTGCCAGAAATCTCTCGCCAAGCGAATTATTAACTGTCTTCATAGTCGGTGATTTTCGTGCTACCATTCATATTCACAATCACACCACGGCTGGTCTCCTACTCGTTTACGATCTGTCCGAATCCTTAGCCATGTTTTTTCGTACCAATTGTGCCGGTATATTGCACACCACCAACATGGCTGTAGCTGTTATGCAACATTACGGCAAATTTTACCTGTTTGATTCTTGTTCTCGTAACGAACAGGCACGACCCAGTTTCGAGGGTGCAGCTTGTATAATAAAATGCGACAGTATCATGAGAATGGCCCAAGTATTTGTAACCAATTGTAATTTGAGATCACCTAATGTCTACACTTTGAATGCCGTCAATGTGCTGAGTTTACATTTCTTTTCGGATGCCAAATCGGGTTGTCCATCTAAATGCGAACAGTAACGTCCTGCTTATGAATTAACTCTTGTAACATTTTTCTAATAAAAAATTACTAACACATCCATTTCTCTCAAACATATTTATTATTCTATATTCGTTACTGGCAACTCATTTGTTCATGCGTCGTACCGTGCCAAAGGATACTGCAACGAAAGGGTTAATGTTTTAAGATCATAATGGGGATGGAGAAAGTAACTTAACAGATTCGCGACAACATTCTCAAATGGCTAATTTTATTTATAAGTTTTCTTTATGACACAAATCACTTTTAGCATCTACATGAGTAGGAGTACAGGCTAATACGAGAATGAATTTGATACAGATCACTTAATAGTGTAAATACAATGTTTCTTTCAAATTACACGCTATAAACTAGATACTTAGAAAACACTGTACAACGCAGCTGAGAACTGTCGATGATACTTTACAATATGATACAACCATTCATTTTTATGTTTTTCTTTTTGTTAAGCGAGACGATTCTTTATATATCGGTGGTGTTGCCCGTTTCATTTCTTTTTTTTTT